CACGCGCTCGCTATCGACCCGATCGAGCCGAGACCGCTCAAAGGCACGTTGTCCATCCTTGTTCTATAAGTTGCGCAAATTTCAGCGCGGTAGGTGCAACGATGTGACCTGTAAACCGCGCTACGTAGCACCATGTCGCGCCCTCGGTAACAGACAGAAACTACGTCACCACAAATAGTAATATAGATAAGAAAATATGTGGAAAAAGCTAAAAGAATCCACTTACATAATAAACAAAGACCATTAGGTAAAGTACACCTTTCAGCAGCTTTGTGAGGGATTGTCTCCTCACTGGAAGGCTTACCCCTCAAAGAAGAAAAAAACAATCGCAGTGATAATACCCTTGTCGCTGATTTATGCAAGAACAGGAGCAGGGGCGGATCCAGAAAATCTCCAAGGGAGGGGCCATTAGAAACCAGGAGGCCCCCCCCCCATAATCCCACCTGTTGGAGGCCCCATCTTCCCACTTGTTGGCCCCCCCAAAAAAAACTGCGTCTATTGAGCTTATCTAGCTGTTCAGGCAACATCTCAACATCTGTGCAGGCTTGGAGGCCCTCTGTGCAGGTTAGGAGGCCCTGTAAAAGTGGTCATCTCTGTGAGTATAAGAGACCTCCAAGTTATGAAAAGCTTTACCAATCTTCTAACAAAGAAGTCTTCTCAGCTAGTCTTCTAAGAAATAACTAAGTGGGTAGGTTAAAAAAAAAACTCATCGGATTTCGGCCACTTTATTTTCAGGAGGCCCCCTTTTCAGCTTTTTAACTTTTTAACTTTTTATTTTATTTTTGAAAAAAAATCGGCCAAGGGGGGGGCCATGCCCCCATGGCCCCCCCCTTGTATCCGCGCCTGAACAGGAGTGTCTTATATCAATACCTAATCACCTTACATTAATTTATGCACTTTGCTCAAAGGAACACCAGTCAAGGGCATACTAGGTACTGCGAATGAAGGGCTATCAATTTTTATAAGTTAAACATAAAAAGTTCACTTTTTCACACTTGTTCCCAAGCCAGAAATTCATGAGTTTCATCAATATCAATGCAATGAGCTAGTGCTAGGATTGGAAATTGGATGCAGAATAGCACTGCACCCAAACATTATTTTCTTTTGTTTTTGTTGCTAGTTTCAGCAATATTTTCCACTTGTTCCATGTAACAAAACTCTAATATGATAGTCAAGCTTAATATGAATTCTCATACCAAATGATTTTGGAGCTTTGATAGCTAAAAGACAATTACATGATTTTATACTAGGGATGAAAATTGTACAACACGTTCAAACTTTTTCCCAATAAGAAAAGGCAGCTGGAATGGGAGTTCAGAGAGAAAGAGAATGAGTGAAAGACATACCCATGGTGACAATAAATAGGTACCTACCAACCTATCAACACCAAACGGTCTGTCGTTCCGTGGGCTGTTCACGGGCCCTGTGTGCGGTCGGACCGCACACAGCCTCCAAGCTCCGCCCACTGCGTCCCTACGTCAGCCTTCCGTCACCGCACACAGCGATCGCTGTGGCCGGTCGGGACTGGCCACAGCGGACCGTCCACCGCACGCAGCCGTGACGTCAGAACCGCCTACCCATCCCCTACCCCCACGCCTGCTGGACGCACCGCACACAGCGCACGCAGCAGTGTGCGGTGCCCGTGAACACCCCCAGATCAGAAGGTAAAGGACATTGAAGAAGCTATGCATGCCAATCAAATAGGTAGTATAATTCCCCAGTCCCCTTTGTTCATCAATCCCCAGTATACATGAAAAATGAAGCATTCATGTCCTAGATTTGTCATTTGATGCCGGGCAATATGAATTGTGATTCAGTACCTTAAGTAAATGAAGAAAGGCGGATTAATCTATCCACTTCAACGGATTAATATATATATATATATAGATATATATATATATATATATATATATATATATATATATATATATATATATATATATATATATATATATATATATATATATATCAGAAACACAATTCAGGAATCATTGGAACATTTATAGTAATCATTTTGCTTTCAAATTAAAAAAAATGATGAAAAACTGAGAGCTACAGGCACTTACATCAACATTATACATAACAACAATCCCCAGTACATTGAAATCACATCACATTCCCATATCTTAGTCAAGATCTTAGTGACCTAATAGGTACTGACCCTGCCCTGCAGGCTGCACTTCCAGCTATCTGTAAGAATCTTGCTTCCAGCAACCCCACCCTTGCATTTCAATTTGTACTCACAAATCCAACCCGCTCATGCATTGATGAAGAGTAATGGCCGCAAGAAAATGAGTCTGAGTTTACCTTAGGCCGTACAAGTCGATTCTCATGGGAATTTCGATTTTCTGTGTTAATTGTGCCAATCCAAATTGCTGCCACTGTATTGTTGAAGTGATGTGGTTGATGAGGTTGATGTTGATGAGGTGTTGGCGTGTCGTGTTATGGCAGCTTCAGTAACGGCGCATGAAAGACATTCACTTGTATAGACACAGCAGTGGTGTCAATTTCAGAAAACGTATGTCCAAAGTCCGTCCAATGTCCAATGCTTACGTCGATTGTCCGTCCAAAAATGTCCAAGCCAGCCATTTGTCCAAAGATGTCCGACACCTACGCAATAGTTTACACTCAACACTGTTATTTAATTTGCTTTTCATGTACCGTTACAAGCTCAAAGGTGTTTATCATATCGAAAGCTGAGCTTTCTAATAGCCAATCAATGTTAAACACGACTACTTTTTAAAAATGTTGAGGTGTAGCAACTAGCAAGCGATTGTCCAAAGTTGTCCAAAGCCTGCTGCCATTGTCCAACCGAATTCCGAATTGGACATTGGACAAAATCGGAATTCCGAAGATTCAAGTTCCGATTGACACCACTAAGACACAGCCACTAAATGTTTGTACTGGCTGTTTTGCGTGAATTCCAAATTTTATCATGCGAATAGTTTCATTAACCCAGCTACATATTAAATAGGAATGCATAAGCTCATTCGTACACATTAATTCATTTAATTCCTTTGATTTTTTTTAGCAATATAAGGCTTTTGAAATAGCTGGATGGATGATGTGAATTGTGAGGTGACGCTGAGCTTGCGCTGAGCTGAAGACCGTGTCGATAACGATTCACAAAAATAGGCTCAGGCTGTTTTGTTAGAGCTACAACCAGTTGGGCAAACTAGACCTTTGGAATCAAAATATGGAGGCATCAAAAGATTGATTCCTTTTGGGCATAAATGCAGACCATTTCTAACTTACCAATCACATAAAAATAAGAGTGTTTCAAGAAGGAGCATGCCTGATCTTGAACAGAAATGCTTGAACTATCTCCTAAGCAAAATAATATTGCTCTTATCATAACAATTTAAATTCTATAGGTAGTGAAAGGCAATCAAGGAATTGATTCACTTTTAACAGATAATCATAATATTGATTCCCCATCAGTTGGCTAATCATTATTTTGATTCACAGGTAATGTTAACAGATAGGCAACAATGACTTGCAAGAATACAGCATTTATCTTGCTATTATTCTCATTTAGTGGTATCCTCAGCACCACAACTGATACCTATAGCATTGTTGTACTTTACCTTCACTACATTTGATAACAACTCAAAATTTTTAAATGTCAAGAATACAAAAACTGAAGCAACAGGTAAAAACCATATAAGTAATATAAAAGCACTACAACAATGATAATTAGGGGTTTAAAAATTTCATTTTGCCATTTTACACAAATACTGATTGGTTAGTAAGTGATTCATGATACAGAAATAACATACAGTGTGATTTCCTCAAAACAGCTTTTACGTGATGGACAGTGGCTCTGTCTTTTTCCCATTCACAAGGCCAAGGGGACAATTTCTTAGCTTTGAGGTAACACTTTTTGCAAACCTACCACATTTTTCTACCTTTTAAAAGAAAAATCTCACCGTCATGGGCCTTTTTTCGGGCTCTGGTATTAACTGGATAATTCGCCAGCTGACGCCGTATGGTGGCGCTAGTGGAGCAGCACCATATGACGTCAGCAGAAAACACCGTGAGCAGCTATGAAATGGGAGCGAGCACCACGGAAATATCGAAAGGTGATGGACATGTACTGACTTTGGTCATTCAAGTACCACCAACACCATACAAAAACCATATAATATCATCAAGACTGATTTTGGAATCGATTTGTTCGGGTATTTAAAACACATAAAAAATGTTTGTTACCGAATTCTGAAACAGTATAAGGATATTCTTGTTTCTTACTTTTACCTTGTGGAGTACTTTTACTTGCTTTCTAGTGCGCCCATCACTATCATGAAATCTGGATTGCAACGCTGTAAGAAAACTTTTTTTTCATTTGTCATTTCTTCCACTTTTGAGCAGTGATAATTTATTTGGTTTTATACATTAAATAATGAAGACGGCTCCTAACTTTTTAGGGATCTGCAGTGGCCCAGAGAGCAAAATCAGATATTTTCTAGAAACTTGAGGCCACTATTTTCTTATATGCTAGATAATATACAAATATTGACATGTAAAGAATGATACGGGTGTATAATTCTGCAGAAATATAAATTCAAAGCATTTAAATTTTTCAAGAACCTTTTCAAAATCTTCCATAATGACTTCTTTCGATACAAGGTGGAAGCAATTTCAGTTAACAATAAAGCAGCACAAGGCAGTACCTTGAGCTGCGATGATCCATAACCAATCGGCACCTGCAATTTGATTGATCTTCGAGATGTACCCTGCCCCTGCCTCTATTCCCTGACTTTCCCTTTTCGTTGTACCGGGTGAAGTGAATATTCTGTGAATATTCTTCTGACAGTCAGTTTTTAGTCCTACATTATGTTGTCAATCAGATTTAATTGGTTCAAAAACCGTCGTAGTCCGTCTCAATCGCAGTCTACATCTCCACATGCGCACCCATACATGCTCAAAATTTTCACTACGTATGTACTATGTACCCTGCAGCGTATCCTGATGAAAAATGTTTTGTTGAAATCAGACACTTCCCAAAGTAGGCCATAGTCCATGGCCATATATTTAAGTCAAAACAGATGAAACAGATAAACACAATTCCAATCATCAAGTCAACCAGCATCGACAATCTGCACATAAGTTCTAAACCTATTGCAAGACTACTTTGTATTCAAACTTTGTATTGCAGAAGGGTGGAAGCTGCATGGAATTATGCGACAATTTCAGCGTGCATCCACGCTCGAAAGAGCAGGGTTAATTGTAACAATGTCAATACCATAACAATAACGTAATTGTAGGTGTTGTGATTCGGTTGTCTCTTCTCTGTGCTGGCCATTGCGCGGGCGGTCCAGCGGCGGAACTTGGCTTCGCCGCCGTGGCGCGCTGGCAGTTGCTTCTTCTTCTTCTTCTGCATCCCACCGCCAACCCGCTCAGGGGGGGCGGCGGCGCAGGCGGGTCGAGCGGCGGCTCGGTCCGCCCAACATCCTCGATGAAGGTGACGACCTTCGTCGCCGGGCCGCCGGGGACGTCGACCAGGCGAGGGTCGACACCCCATCGGCGGCGGCGGGCCGCCTCATAGGCCGGACAATCGGTCAGTAGGTGCGCCGCGCTGTCGGGCTCCCCGCACGCGGGGCATTCGTCGTCGGCTTCCGGGCCAATCTTGTGGAGCGTGTCACGGGTCAGCGGTGATGTGCCGGTCCTCAGCTGGGACAGCGTCACCGACCCCAGCGCGCCAGGGAGTCGTGGCCAGGCGTGGGGTCCGGGTGCGGGTGGGCAGCGGTTGCCCTCTGTCGCGACAGCTCCCGGACATGGCGCGTGACGGCGGCCCGCGCACTCGAAAGGTCGATCGGTGCGCTGTCTTGGTCGCCCGCCGTGGCCTCGCCAGCCAGGCGGTCGGCGGTTTCGTTGCCGTCCAGCCCGGCATGGCCTGGCACCCACTGGAGCACCGTCTCGGTGCCGTTCTCGGCGAGGGTGCTCAGCACTCAGCAGCCTCCACACCTCGGCGGCCAGGGCCATGGTCTGGTTAGCTGGGCCGCGGCCGAGTAGTTGGAGCCCAGGCCTTGAGTCGGTGAGGAGGCGGACCGACTTGGTCGATGCCAACTCCCCGTCCTCCAGGCCGGCCACAGCCGCGAACGCCTCGCGCATGGCGGTCAGTTCTGCTCTTAGGCTGGAGCAGACCGCCCCTGCAGGAGCGCGCACGGTCTCTTCTCTGTTGAGGTGGTGGAACTGGATCAGCGCCTGCGCCGCCCTGTTCCGTCCGCCGCGAGCCGAGCCGTCCGACCAGATAGTGACGTCCGGGTGCGGGAGCTCTGCAGTGGCTCGCAGGGCAGCTTCCCTGCGGACTGCAGGCGGGTCCGACCGGCGGGTGGCCACGGGCAGGTCCACCCTGAAGGTGATGCCGCCGTGGTGGCCCAGCCATGGCGGGTTGCAGCTGTAAAATGCCGAACCTGTAACACAATAGAATTGCAATTGTAACAAAGACCTGCATGGTCAGCACACATCTGCAGTGACTGTCATCCCAAGTTGGTATGAATTGGCACAAAGTTGGGTCATGGTAGCAGACATAGCACAAGCTGTTGTGTTGTGAATTGTGATATGCCATACCGTAGGACTAGGTCGTGGGTTGTAAATTTTAGGTTTAAGGCTGTAGGTTGTAGGTCAGGTTAGGTAAGGTTTGGTTAGAAAGACCCATTCTCGTGCATCGGGCAGCTTGTGCTACATCTACCTTACCAATACCTGTTTTTGTGTGTATGTGTGTGCGTGCGTGTGACAGTTGTATGTTTGATCGTTGTCATTTTGTGCCTACTCTCCCATTGCCGATTGACGTTCATTTGTTTTATCACGTGACGAAAGGCAGTAATAGCCGCAAGTATATTGCGGATGTCCTTTGTGGTAACCACGTGTGTCGCCGGCCGGCACGGGAGTTCCCGGCGCAGACCGATTCGCGCGCCGACTTGTGACGTCGCTACCCCGCCCCGGCGCTGGGGGGCGGCCCAGGACGTGTCTGTTCGTGAACTTTGTCCCATCACGATGCGACCGCGTGTCTGCGGCCTGCGCTGCCGCAGTGCGTCGGCCAGTGACCAATCCGCGCTCCGATCCGCAGCCACGTGGTGTCCGAGGGCTTCTGCGCATGTCTGGACCCGGCCCGCTGCGTCGGGCCGCGCGCTACCCCGAGACTTCTGGCCGAGCTCTTGGCCCGAGCAGACGCGTCACGTCTGGCTCCGCGATTTGGCCCGTTCTGTCCGGGATTTATAACTTAGATTAGGCAGGGCATATTTGGCAAACTTGGATTTCATTCTCGTCTCTTCGTCGCTCCATTGTCTGATTCCCTGTTTTGGTTTTTGACTTCGTTTTGGTAATTTAAATATAACAACCCGCTCTTTTAATTAATTCTTTTACTTGGGGCCGTTTGGATCGAACTGATTGAATTTTTGGAACACGCACCAGGTTGATATTTTCCATTTCTGATTACCGTAAAATCCAGTCACTGATATGTGGTGAACAGCCCCACAGCACCACATATTGGTGACCCCGACGTGATTCTTGTTCGATTTTTCCATACTTCCGGGTTGTCGCCTCCGCTCATTCCCGAATCAATTATTTTATATTATTCCCCCACATGGATTGCTATTCCGTCGCTCCACAGTGGCTTCTGCGCCACTTTTCCATGATGGTTTCTGTGCCATCTCTCCGCCGTGTGATTAGTTAGGCATTTATCTTCTCGGTGATTTTATTTCGGCGTTCCATTGGCTCTTTCGGGTTTTGCACTCGGTGTTTCAAATTTTAATTGTTCAGTGCATTGCAAACACCGGCTATACTTTAACGATCATGACGAACGAGGGCACGTTGGAACCCGCTCATGCTGAGCCGGTCCATCATGTGTCGATCAAGCCGCCGGTTTTTATGGACACCGCGGTTGACGGCTGGTTTGCTATTATGGACGCCCAATTTAACATTGCCAAAATCACCAACTCGCAGACCAAATTCTACCACGTTCTCTCTGCCCTGCCTCCGGAAACCATCTCGCACATTCCGCGTGCTGTCTTGAGCAACAAAAATTTCTCTGAGCTACAGATAGCCGTCACTGACATGTACGAAAAGACAAAGCCAGAGATGTTTGAGAAACTGATCAGCAAAACGCGTCTGACGGGCCGACCCTCACTCTTTCTAAGCGAACTCAGAGAGGTGGCCGACAAGGTTGGTGTCGGAGACGATCTCGTTCGGCACAAATTTATCCAGTCGCTACCCACAGGCATTGCTACGGCCCTGGCTTCTCAGCGCGAGCTCTCACTGTCGCAGTTGGGCAAACTCGCAGACGAACTAATGCCTCTTGTGCAAAACTCAGCTGCTAACATGGTTCACTGTCAGGATCAGGACCCACAGTCTGACTCACAGGCGTTCCTTGTGGCTCAGCAGCACCCAAGGTACCACAGGGCCACTCAGCCGCAGAGCCGAGCCGCCACACACTCCCCAGCTCGTGATGCTCGTGATTCAAGAGCGTCTCTCGGTCTCACGCCGTTCCACCCTGACCAGAAGCCGAAAGTATGCCGTGCTCACCTGTTTTTCGGCAGCAGAGCACGCACTTGCAAGCCATGGTGTCACTGGCCCGACAAAGCTGCTGATCTGACCATGCAACCGTCCTCACGAGCTGCATCTCCCTCCCGTGCAGCCTCAGAGTCGGGAAACGAGAGGAGCAGGCCGTAAACGCAGCCCTCGGCCTGCCGCTCCTTAGGGTCACAGCCAAGGTGAATGATCAGCCCCTGAAATTCATCGTGGATACTGGCGCTGGTGTATCCCTGGTTCCACCCTCCTATGTGAATGGAACTCTAATTCACCCGTCCGCTGTTTCGATCACGACTGCCAGCGGGCAGCCACTGCGCGTGCATGGCGAGGCCACTCTCGATATTGTCCTCCCCACACTCAGACGCAGTTACACATGGACATTTGTAGTGGCTGAAGTGACAGAGCCACTACTCGGTAACGATTTTCTCGCTCACAACTCGTTGGTTGTCGATTGTGGTTCCCAAGTTCTCCGCGACTCCACCACTCTGCTCTCTGCTCCCGGTGTACCGACGACCGGGGAGTCTGTTCATTTGGTGATAAATGATCTCGCTCAGGTGCCTGAGGCAGTACGGCCCATCCTAGAGGATCACCCCGCTGTTCTCAGCCCTAACCAGCCTGACTACACCGACTCGCCAATCAAAACCACTCACTTCATCGACACCGGCAGCGCTCCACCCACGTTCGCCAGCCCACGCAAGCTGCCGCCCGACAAACTAACCGCAGCAAAGCAAGCACTCGATGTGCTGCTCAAAACAGGAGTGATTCGTCCGTCTAGGTCCCCGTGGGCCTCACCCATCCACATGGTTCCGAAGAGTACTCCTGGTGAGTGGCGTGTCACCGGTGATTACCGTGCGCTCAACGCCGTAACCAAACCGGATCGCTACCCACTGCCGCACATTCAGAGCCTCTCAACCAAGCTCCACAACGCTCAGTGGTTCAGCAAAATCGATCTGCTCCGTGCATATCACCAGGTGCCTATGAACCCCGCTGACTCAGAGAAGACGGCCGTCACCACGCCCTTCGGCTTGTACGAATACGCCTTCATTCCAATGGGGCTTCGCAACGCAGGTGCCACATTCCAGAGGGTCATGGACGGCATCTTCCAAGACGTGCCGTGCGTGTTCGTCTATCTCGACGATATTCTGGTATTTTCCGAGAACCAGGAGCAGCATGAGAAAGATCTGCGCCTCGTGTTCAGCGAGCTGGCTGAGCACAAGCTTCGCATCTCACTGGAGAAATGCGAGTTCATGAAGAAGTCACTCATTTTCCTCGGTCATGACGTCACCAGCACAGGTGTCACACCTCCCAAGGCCAGAGTGAAGGAGATTCTGGACCTCCCTCTACCGCATGACTCAGAGTCACTGCGTCGCTATCTGGGACTCATCGGCTTCTACCGGCGTATGATTCCGCGATTCGCCGATGTCACGTTCCACCTGACCGAACTGATTCGACTCAATCCAAAAAGCAAAGAACTGACGTGGACAGAGGAACAGACTCAGGCGTTCAGTGACAGTAAAGCGGCGCTGGCTGGCGCCTGCACTCTGCCACACCCAGTGCCACACTGCGAGCAGTACGAGCTCGTTACTGACGCATCACAAGTCGCGGTGGGTGCCGCGCTCCATCAGATTGTGGACGGAGTACCCGTTCCCATTGGCTTCTTCTCACGGAAGCTCAGTCAGGCCCAACAGAAGTACGCCGCGTATGACAGAGAGCTACTCGCGGCTTATCTGGCCACACTCCATTTTCGTGACATGATCGAAGGCCGCCACGTTACCCTGCGAACAGACCACAAGCCACTCGTGCGCGCTTTTCACAGCCCGCACACTGCTAAGTCTGACCGCCAACAGCGCCACTGGTGTGTCGTCACGGAATACATCACGGAGGTCTCGTACATTCGTGGCAGTGACAACGTGGTGGCGGACTGCCTCAGTCGCCCGGTAAATGCAGTGTCCCTCGATGCATGTGACCTCCATTTTATCGCGGCGGCTCAGAAACAGGAAAAGGAGAGAGACACCGACAGTGCCGATTCAGAGCACCAGGATTCCGAGTCAGGTCCAGGATCGCGCTCAAATCCACAGGACACCTCCCGATTGGAGCCAGTAACACTGTCTGGCGACATCACAGTCCTGTGTGAAAACACTGGACCACATCCACGCCCGTACGTACCAGAGGCGTGCAGGCGCGCCGTGTTTGATCGTTTCCACGGCCTGTCACACCCGGGTAGGAAAGGCACCACCCGTCTCATCAGCTCTCGCTATTTCTGGCATGATATGCGCCGTGACACTGCGCGATGGGTGAAGGAGTGTGAAGCATGCCAGGAAGCCAAGGTGCACAGGCACACTCGTTCTCCGCCCGGTCGATTTGATGTGCCCTCGCAGCGGTTCGAAACTGTACATATAGACATAGTCGGGCCGCTGCCCCCGTCAGTACCCCACGGGCACCCCTTCACCGCGCCATTTCGTTATTTGTTGACATGCATCGATCGCGCCACGCGTTGGGTCGAGGCCGTGCCGTTGGTCTCGATCACCGCGGAAAGTGTGGCCTCTGCTTTCCTCGACACTTGGGTGTCCCGGTTCGGAGTGCCACTGCATATAGTCACGGACCGCGGTTCCCAATTCGAATCAGAACTGTTTTCACACTTGTCTTCAATGATAGGTTTCCATCGCCTCCGAACCACTGCTTATCATCCGACGTGCAATGGAATGGTGGAACGGGTCCACCGAACGCTCAAAGCCGCGATCAGGGCGCGCAGGCAAGAGTGGCTGCGCGCGCTACCCGTCGTTTTGCTAGGTTTGAGAGCCATGCCAGCAGAGTCGGGTTTTTCGGCATTCACTGCCGTCACAGGCGCGCAGGTGCTGTTTCCCCGCTGCGCCGTCGAGAAGGTCCCCGTCGGGACAAAGTACGTCCAAGAACTGGCAAAGCGTATGTCAGAAATCGATTTCGTCACGCTCTCACAGGGCTCGAACCACGTCCGCACACCACCGACGCACGTGCCACCCGATCTCATGACATGCACACACGTGTGGGTACGCGTTGACCGCGTGCGGCACTCTCTGGAGTCCCCGTACCGCGGCCCCATGCGAGTCATCAGACGCAGCCCTAAAGTGTTCACGTTGGAGCTGCCGACTGGCGCCCACGACACTGTAAGCGTCGACAGACTCAAACCAGCACACATGCCGCCACCTGAGGACACGCTTGGTCCGAGCAGTACCGAGCCTACGGCTCCGGAGCAGCAGCCGTCACCGTCGACCTCGCTCGGGCCCCTCGCCACTGGGGCGCCCGACGAGCCGACACAGACGCCGACGACTACAAGACCGTCCAGCAAGAGGACTTCAAGACCTGGAGTGACGTCTTCCGCATCGCCGGACGAGGACGACAAGCCGTCCGCGGCTGCGCCGGTGCACACCCGCAGCGGCCGCCGCGTGCACTTCCGGCCGCAACCGGACTTCCGATACTTTTAAGTGCGCCCGCGTACGTGCGTTCGAGGACGATCCTGATCGCGTGGCGCCGACAGTGAAGTGATAACTGCGTCGCGCGGTGTAGTGATTCTTGCGTCGCGCAGGACCGTGCAGTGACAATTGCGTTGCGCCGTACCGTGTAGTGATTATTGCGTCGCGCAGTGAAGTGTCGATCGCGTCGCGCACCGAGTGATGTGAAAAGTGATTGTTGTGGCTTATCGTGTATGCGCTCCGCGCTGAGGCGGTGAGTACTGTGGTAACCACGTGTGTCGCCGGCCGGCACGGGAGTTCCCGGCGCAGACCGATTCGCGCGCCGACTTGTGACGTCGCTACCCCGCCCCGGCGCTGGGGGGCGGCCCAGGACGTGTCTGTTCGTGAACTTTGTCCCATCACGATGCGACCGCGTGTCTGCGGCCTGCGCTGCCGCAGTGCGTCGGCCAGTGACCAATCCGCGCTCCGATCCGCAGCCACGTGGTGTCCGAGGGCTTCTGCGCATGTCTGGACCCGGCCCGCTGCGTCGGGCCGCGCGCTACCCCGAGACTTCTGGCCGAGCTCTTGGCCCGAGCAGACGCGTCACGTCTGGCTCCGCGATTTGGCCCGTTCTGTCCGGGATTTATAACTTAGATTAGGCAGGGCATATTTGGCAAACTTGGATTTCATTCTCGTCTCTTCGTCGCTCCATTGTCTGATTCCCTGTTTTGGTTTTTGACTTCGTTTTGGTAATTTAAATATAACAACCCGCTCTTTTAATTAATTCTTTTACTTGGGGCCGTTTGGATCGAACTGATTGAATTTTTGGAACACGCACCAGGTTGATATTTTCCATTTCTGATTACCGTAAAATCCAGTCACTGATATGTGGTGAACAGCCCCACAGCACCACACCTTAATACAGTATGAGATGAGATGAGAGATACCCAATTTGGAATCCCAAAATTGATGGCAAACAGGCTTTTTGTATAACAAATGTGGTTAATTGTTCTAATCCCCGCTGCAATGTGAGGGTAACTGCTTTTCTACAATCACAATATTTGGATTCATATAGGTAGGTGTTTACATGTTCAGAAAATGATACAAAATATGACACAATTATAGCTGCAACTGGATAGTGGATACCAACCTCAACTAAAAGTTTCTGCAGCCTTATAACCTAACAAATGACTAAATTGCTAAAATAAATCCCTTAGTACAATAGCTTGACTCTAAAATAACAGAAATTTTGCATGCAGACCCTGAAATGGAGGGTTTATGAAAAGTAACAAAAATAAACATTCACTAATATCAATATGTTGTTATAAATTTCATGTGTAGCATAAGCGCCAATACTGCCTTCATTTACAATGTTGCTACTGTTTTCCACTCACAAACGCTGCCTTCCGTGGACAGCAGCAGCAGCAGTGAAACGTCACCCGTGGTGTGACATCATCACCCATGACGTAATGGAAATCCAGTTGTTACCAAAGCCCCTTTTTTCAACCGTAACGATTCATTTGAAGTCAAAAGTGTACCCAAATGAATCAAAAAATTGATTCCATGCCGGTCATGGCTCCTCCCACCAGAATCAAATTATTGATGCCTCCATATTTTGATTCCAAAAGTCTAGTTTGCCCAACTGAGATACGGAGAGTCAAACGCAAAGTAACTTATTCCAATGAAAGTCCCACCTTTAAAAAAGACGAATTGCAATTGATAACGTTTTAAGAGAAAAAAGCAACAGCCTCCGCAAATGCCAAATAAATAATGCCGAGAATCATAGGCGGCGGAACGGGGGGGGGGGGGGTCACCAGGGGCCCGGGGCACCATGCCCCCAGTTGATTTTGAGATTTTAATATTAGTCCTATTGGCGTTGCATGGAAAGAATGCGATCAAAAGTCGGCAGTGCCCCCACCCCCTTCATTGAAGGCGTTCCGCCGCCCGCCACTGCCGAGAATAAGATATAGGTAGGTACCTACCCACACGAGCACGGCAGTGACAAATTCGAAGATATCTTGAGACGGCACAGGTATCGACTTTCGACCGATCTTACCTGATCACGAGGCGGCAAACCTATGCTTTGCACCAGTGACCAGACCACCATAAAACATAAATGGCGCATGCAGCGCTCAGCTCCACCCAGTACCCGGTGCCCGTTCGCGGCCCCTGGAACACCAGCTCGCGTCGCCTCGCCAGCCAGACACTGAAGTGGCTCAGCCAAACATGCAGGCCTCCGTCCAATGGCCTCGGCCCTTCTCACTTGGCGAGCTGCACGCACCTCGGTTGCAAGCTGCTCCAAAGCGACTGCCTTTAGGCTTTAGCGTCTGACGTCTCACATCATGCTAACATAACGTTATTGTTGAGTGATGCAACCCGGTGAGCCTCCGAAAAAGGAAGCATGCCATGCGGCTTTCTCCCAGCTCTGAATTTCTTTTATCCAGGGATGCGGAGCCGTGGAAATTTCAGACAGCTTCGGCTCCGGCTCCGGCTACGGAGAAATAAAATCGGCTCCGGCTCTGGCTCCGGGTGAAACGTCATGGCGGCTCCGTCTCCGGCTCCGGGCAAAAATGTGCCGGCTCCGGCGGCTCCGGCTCCGGCTCCGCACCCCTGCTTTATCTAATATTTGATTGTGCGGAATAGCCTCAAAACCATAGCATAGACCATTTCGCCTCTAGCATACGTTTAAAGGCGATTTATTTCCACCATATCCGTTCATACGGTGAACGAGAAAAACTGTACATAATTCAAACTGTATGTATACTCTCGTCTCCTGTCTTCGAGTACACTTTATTCAATAAACACATCCTTAAAATAATGATCTATGCGTGCTGACGGGCGAATGCTAGGCATATTATAATTATTTATCGAACCGTGCCACTGCCACCTCACTCTCATAGTTTATTCATGTCTAAAACCTACGAAAAATTACATTCTTCATGCCATAGCTGAAGATCCACTATCCAATAATCACAACAATAATCAATACGCTTAGCAGTTCCGTCATGCGTCGCTCGTTTGTAGCTCGTATGACCACATGATTTGACATATTCCCGACGACCATACCACGACGTGATGGGCGCTGCAACAGAACAGCACAAGCAACTAAGGCCTCTCATCTCGTCACGATTGCCAGGGCAGCGCCACACCTCGCCGGGGCGGCTGACCTCGTGCATACCCCACCCGCCGCCGTCCCGACCCTCGTGCGTACCCCGCCGCTGTCCCGATCCGCCCAGCAGCGGCCGGTCACCTCACTTGAGCGGCGCCGCCTCGTGGAATGGCAGAGAGACAGAGGACTGGAGAGCGGCCCCGGCCCGGACGGACGGTCTGTATGTCTGTGTGTCTGTGTGTGGCCGCGTGCTCAGCGGGCCGCTGAGATTCCCTCGTGGACTGCCCCTCCGGCCTGTCACCGCTCGGCCGGCCGCCGCCGCCAGCCCGTGACCCAGGTTATAGCGAGACTTGGACCATCAATGGGGCTTCATGAGTTTGTCCGACTTGCGACGGCGGCCACCAGAGCGGCGCCACGTCCGCTGCCGTCCTCCGAGAGCATCAGCTCAAACTGAAATAAACGACAGCGGTCATTGACGGAAAGGTTTAGCACAGCTGAGGAAAATAAATGAAAATGACGGAGCATATTGCGCTGCCGATTACTTTATTACCGTATTATTTTCGCAAACTTGAGTCGTATGAAAGGAGCATATAGAAACGGGTGACACATATACATAGAAGGGCGACACCACCCATCTTTTATTCTATTGTTGTCCGTGGATCATTTCCATACACCCTGGAAGCGACTTACATCACATAACCTAGCTAAGATGGCTCACCTGGATGCCGGGGTTGATGAGCTGGTTGATCTGTTCGCACATGAGCCGGTGCACGTGCGGGTGGTAGCGATACACGGAGCCGTCCACGCCGACCGTCACCGACGGCCGGTTCATCTTGTTGAGCAGCACCGCCAGACCGGTGCCCACCAGGAACGCCGCTCTGGCGACATCAGACGACAGGACGGTCAGCTCGGCAGCGCGCGTCAGAGAGGGGTTTCAGTCATACCATCGATGAACGTTAACTCTTCACGGTAGTCATGCACACGTGTTATGACCAATTATGAGGGACTATTATAAAGGCATCTACTTATAATCACAATCTATATTTACAAAGACCGCCTTAATGGCCACTTGCACACCGGGAGCTAAGACAAAAAGGCTACTTATAAGTCGGAAAATAAGATTAGTCTCTACTGTCAGCAGGGCAGACTTCGCTCCCTTTGCAGGAGCAGCGGTCGATCCACTGTCGACTCGGTACCCACCTCCTGGAGACCACCTCGCAAACGTATCGGACGTTCTCACAGTCCTCGTCCGTGGCATTGTCCAGGCCGAGCTCCTCCAGCACCATCCGACAGTTGGTGTAGTCGCCCGGCGCGTCACTGTATAGGAGGAGGGGGTCAGAGGTCAGAGCGGGGAGCACCATCCGACAGTTGGTGTAGTCGCCCGGCGCGTCACTGGGTCAGAGGGAGTGAGGGGTCAGAGCGGGGAGCACCATCCGACAGTTGGTGTAGTCGCCCGGCGCGTCACTGGGTCAGAGGGGGGAGAGGGGTCAGAGCGGGGAGCACCATCCGACAGTTGGTGTAGTCGCCCGGCGCGTCACTGGGTCAGAGGAGAGGGGTCAGAGCGGGGAGCACCATCCGACAGTTGGTGTAGTCGCCCGGCGCGTCACTGGGTCAGAGGGAGTGAGGGGTCAGAGCGGGGAGCACCATCCGACAGTTGGTGTAGTCGCCCGGCGCGTCACTGTATAGGAGGAGGGAGTGAGGGGTCAGAGCGGGGAGCACCATCCGACAGTTGGTGTAGTCGCCCGGCGCGTCACTGGGTCAGAGGAGAGGGGTCAGAGCGGGGAGCACCATCCGACAGTTGGTGTAGTCGCCCGGCGCGTCACTGGGTCAGAGGGAGTGAGGGGTCAGAGCGGGGAGCACCATCCGACAGTTGGTGTAGTCGCCCGGCGCGTCACTGTATAGGAGGAGGGAGTGAGGGGTCAGAGCGGGGAGCACCATCCGACAGTTGGTGTAGTCGCCCGGCGCGTCACTGGGTCAGAGGGAGTGAGGGGTCAGAGCGGGGAGCACCATCCGACAGTTGGTGTAGTCGCCCGGCGCGTCACTGGGTCAGAGGGGGGAGAGGGGTCAGAGCGGGGAGCACCATCCGACAGTTGGTGTAGTCGCCCGGCGCGTCACTGTATAGGAGGAGGGAGTGAGGGGTCAGAGCGGGGAGCACCATCCGACAGTTGGTGTAGTCGCCCGGCGCGTCACTGGGTCAGAGGGAGTGAGGGGTCAGAGCGGGGAGCACCATCCGACAGTTGGTGTAGTCGCCCGGCGCGTCACTGGGTCAGAGGGGGGAGAGGGGTCAGAGCGGGGAGCACCATCCGGCAGTTGGTGTAGTCGCCCGGCGCGTCACTGGGTCAGAGGAGGGGTGAGGGGTCAGAGCGGGGAGCACCATCCGGCAGTTGGTGTAGTCGCCCGGCGCGTCACTGGGTCAGAGGAGGGGTGAGGGGTCAGAGCGGGGAGCACCATCCGACAGTTGGTGTAGTCGCCCGGCGCGTCACTGTGTCAGAGGAGAGGGGTCAGAGCGGGGAGCACCATCCGACAGTTGGTGTAGTCGCCCGGCGCGTCACTGGGTCAGAGGAGAGGGGTCAGAGCGGGGAGCACCATCCGACAGTTGGTGTAGTCGCCCGGCGCGTCACTGGGTCAGAGGAGAGGGGTCAGAGCGGGGAGCACCATCCGACAGTTGGTGTAGTCGCCCGGCGCGTCACTGGGTCAGAGGAGAGGGGTCAGAGCGGGGAGCACCATCCGACAGTTGGTGTAGTCGCCCGGCGCGTCACTGGGTCAGAGGGGGGAGAGGGGTCAGAGCGGGGAGCACCATCCGACAGTTGGTGTAGTCGCCCGGCGCGTCACTGGGTCAGAGGGAGTGAGGGGTCAGAGCGGGGAGCACCATCCGACAGTTGGTGTAGTCGCCCGGCGCGTCACTGTATAGGAGGAGAGGGGTCAGAGCGGGGAGCACCATCCGACAGTTGGTGTAGTCGCCCGGCGCGTCACTGGGTCAGAGGGGGGAGAGGGGTCAGAGCGGGGAGCACCATCCGACAGTTGGTGTAGTCGCCCGGCGCGTCACTGGGTCAGAGGGAGTGAGGGGTCAGAGCGGGGAGCACCATCCGACAGTTGGTGTAGTCGCCCGGCGCGTCACTGGGTCAGAGGAGAGGGGTCAGAGCGGGGAGCACCATCCGACAGTTGGTCTAGTCGCCCGGCGCGTCACTGGGTCAGAGGAGGGAGTGAGGGGTCAGAGCGGGGAGCACCATCCGACAGTTGGTGTAGTCGCCCGGCGCGTCACTGGGTCAGAGGGAGTGAGGGGTCAGAGCGGGGAGCACCATCCGGCAGTTGGTGTAGTCGCCCGGCGCGTCACTGGGTCAGAGGAGAGGGGTCAGAGCGGGGAGCACCATCCGGCAGTTGGTGTAGTCGCCCGGCGCGTCACTGGGTCAGAGGAGAGGGGTCAGAGCGGGGAGCACCATCCGACAGTTGGTCTAGTCGCCCGGCGCGTCACTGGGTCAGAGGAGGGAGTGAGGGGTCAGAGCGGGGAGCACCATCCGACAGTTGGTGTAGTCGCCCGGCGCGTCACTGGGTCAGAGGGAGTGAGGGGTCAGAGCGGGGAGCACCATCCGACAGTTGGTGTAGTCGCCCGGCGCGTCACTGGGTCAGAGGGAGTGAGGGGTCAGAGCGGGGAGCACCATCCGACAGTTGGTGTAGTCGCCCGGCGCGTCACTGGGTCAGAGGAGAGGGGTCAGAGCGGGGAGCACCATCCGACAGTTGGTGTAGTCGCCCGGCGCGTCACTGGGTCAGAGGAGGGAGTGAGGGGTCAGAGCGGGGAGCACCATCCGACAGTTGGTGTAGTCGCCCGGCGCGTCACTGGGTCAGAGGGAGTGAGGGGTCAGAGCGGGGAGCACCATCCGACAGTTGGTGTAGTCGCCCGGCGCGTCACTGGGTCAGAGGAGAGGGGTCAGAGCGGGGAGCACCATCCGACAGTTGGTGTAGTCGCCCGGCGCGTCACTGGGTCAGAGGGAGTGAGGGGTCAGAGCGGGGAGCACCATCCGACAGTTGGTGTAGTCGCCCGGCGCGTCACTGGGTCAGAGGGAGTGAGGGGTCAGAGCGGGGAGCACCATCCGACAGTTGGTGTAGTCGCCCGGCGCGTCACTGGGTCAGAGGAGAGGGGTCAGAGCGGGGAGCACCATCCGGCAGTTGGTGTAGTCGCCCGGCGCGTCACTGGGTCAGAGGGGGGAGAGGGGTCAGAGCGGGGAGCACCATCCGACAGTTGGTGTAGTCGCCCGGCGCGTCACTGTATAGGAGGAGGGAGTGAGGGGTCAGAGCGGGGAGCACCATCCGACAGTTGGTGTAGTCGCCCGGCGCGTCACTGGGTCAGAGGGAGTGAGGGGTCAGAGCGGGGAGCACCATCCGACAGTTGGTGTAGTCGCCCGGCGCGTCACTGGGTCAGAGGGAGTGAGGGGTCAGAGCGGGGAGCACCATCCGACAGTTGGTGTAGTCGCCCGGCGCGTCACTGGGTCAGAGGGAGTGAGGGGTCAGAGCGGGGAGCACCATCCGGCAGTTGGTGTAGTCGCCCGGCGCGTCACTGGGTCAGAGGAGAGGGGTCAGAGCGGGGAGCACCATCCGACAGTTGGTGTAGTCGCCCGGCGCGTCACTGGGTCAGAGGGAGTGAGGGGTCAGAGCGGGGAGCACCATCCGGCAGTTGGTGTAGTCGCCCGGCGCGTCACTGGGTCAGAGGAGAGGGGTCAGAGCGGGGAGCACCATCCGGCAGTTGGTGTAGTCGCCCGGCGCGTCACTGGGTCAGAGGAGAGGGGTCAGAGCGGGGAGCACCATCCGACAGTTGGTCTAGTCGCCCGGCGCGTCACTGGGTCAGAGGAGGGAGTGAGGGGTCAGAGCGGGGAGCACCATCCGACAGTTGGTGTAGTCGCCCGGCGCGTCACTGGGTCAGAGGGAGTGAGGGGTCAGAGCGGGGAGCACCATCCGACAGTTGGTGTAGTCGCCCGGCGCGTCACTGGGTCAGAGGGAGTGAGGGGTCAGAGCGGGGAGCACCATCCGACAGTTGGTGTAGTCGCCCGGCGCGTCACTGGGTCAGAGGAGAGGGGTCAGAGCGGGGAGCACCATCCGACAGTTGGTGTAGTCGCCCGGCGCGTCACTGGGTCAGAGGAGGGAGTGAGGGGTCAGAGCGGGGAGCACCATCCGACAGTTGGTGTAGTCGCCCGGCGCGTCACTGGGTCAGAGGAGGGAGTGAGGGGTCAGAGCGGGGAGCACCATCCGACAGTTGGTGTAGTCGCCCGGCGCGTCACTGGGTCAGAGGGAGTGAGGGGTCAGAGCGGGGAGCACCATCCGACAGTTGGTGTAGTCGCCCGGCGCGTCACTGGGTCAGAGGAGAGGGGTCAGAGCGGGGAGCACCATCCGACAGTTGGTGTAGTCGCCCGGCGCGTCACTGGGTCAGAGGGAGTGAGGGGTCAGAGCGGGGAGCACCATCCGACAGTTGGTGTAGTCGCCCGGCGCGTCACTGGGTCAGAGGGAGTGAGGGGTCAGAGCGGGGAGCACCATCCGACAGTTGGTGTAGTCGCCCGGCGCGTCACTGGGTCAGAGGAGAGGGGTCAGAGCGGGGAGCACCATCCGGCAGTTGGTGTAGTCGCCCGGCGCGTCACTGGGTCAGAGGGGGGAGAGGGGTCAGAGCGGGGAGCACCATCCGACAGTTGGTGTAGTCGCCCGGCGCGTCACTGTATAGGAGGAGGGAGTGAGGGGTCAGAGCGGGGAGCACCATCCGACAGTTGGTGTAGTCGCCCGGCGCGTCACTGGGTCAGAGGGAGTGAGGGGTCAGAGCGGGGAGCACCATCCGACAGTTGGTGTAGTCGCCCGGCGCGTCACTGGGTCAGAGGGAGTGAGGGGTCAGAGCGGGGAGCACCATCCGACAGTTGGTGTAGTCGCCCGGCGCGTCACTGGGTCAGAGGAGAGGGGTCAGAGCGGGGAGCACCATCCGACAGTTGGTCTAGTCGCCCGGCGCGTCACTGGGTCAGAGGAGGGAGTGAGGGGTCAGAGCGGGGAGCACCATCCGACAGTTGGTGTAGTCGCCCGGCGCGTCACTGGGTCAGAGGATGAGGGGTCAGAGCGGGGAGCACCATCCGACAGTTGGTGTAGTCGCCCGGCGCGTCACTGGGTCAGAGGAGAGGGGTCAGAGCGGGGAGCACCATCCGACAGTTGGTCTAGTCGCCCGGCGCGTCACTGGGTCAGAGGAGGGAGTGAGGGGTCAGAGCGGGGAGCACCATCCGACAGTTGGTGTAGTCGCCCGGCGCGTCACTGGGTCAGAGGATGAGGAGTGAGAGGGCAGAGCGGGGTTGTCACTGTTCAATGGAGGAAGCTCCTCCAGCATCATACGCAGTTGGAGTACCTACTCGTCAATGTCGACAACGGTTATGTGCCTGATTATCTAGATAATCTTGTGTGGGCTGTTCTAAAAAAAAGATATCCATGACCTCAGTTGGTGTAATGTGGTAATGTCGCTTGAGATCATGTTCGCTGGTATTGATAAATTGATTATTCACAAATAACGTTACGATTTAAAAGTGCAAGCATGTTACGTTAAACTCCGGGGATTAAACTCCCGGGATTAAGCGGATGGGGCAGCTACCAGTTTACGTCATGAGTCGAACACCTGTAGACGCTGAGCATCACACGTGTGCCTGGGTACGGCGCTCGTCATTTGGCGGTAGGACAAGTGTTCAACCCTTCCTCCCCTCCCCGGCATCCACCCTGAAATTATTTCAGATATCTATGAAGATATGCGGTCAACCAGACTCTAACAGCAATGACATCTTGCGGTTAAAGATCAATACGGTTTCATGTTATATATCTGCATTCTAGGCTAATTAGATCTAAAAAGATTTCTGAAAGTGTTTGCTGTAACTAATTAAGTTTCATTTACGTCGCTTACCTCTCGACCTCTGTGACGTATTTGGTGTAGAAGCTGCCCTTCTCTGCGAGTTCCTCGGAGCCCAGGCCGCCGAACAGCAGGCCCTTCTTGGTCAGTCGCTGCAGTACCAGCCGCACCAGCTCTCCCATGTACATTCCGCTGATCATTTTCTCAAACACCTGACGTCCAGGGTTGATCGAGTGCTGGTCGATCTCGCGGTCGTACTCTGGAAAAGGAAGTCATTGATCTGGATCAACCCGCAGCCGACAGCAGAGTGGTGAATCGGTGCCGTAAACCGATTGTTTAGTGAATGGTATAATACATTCGGGCTGGAGGAGGCACAGGGGATGTCGCGTTAGAATTTGCCAGTCCAGTCTTGTCTAGCTTTGACGCGTACAGCGTACTAACATTTCAGTTCACCATGCCGGCCGCGGACTGACCTGTGAGCACGTGGTCGAGCTCGCCCTTGCTGCCGAACGCGCCCCACTCGGTGTTGACGATGACCTGTTTCGGTTCCTCCCAGCTACCGTCCCACAGTTCCACGTTCTCCAGACGCTCCACATAGCACGCGTTCGTGCCCGTGCCTGACAAAAGATGGATGATGGCGTGAAAAGACCGCCTGGTGAACGTTCAGTCCGTATTGAAAGCGTCTAGTGAAACTTTGAATAATTAGATCAAGCGAATTAAAAAGAAATGGAACGTCCAATTCCTCCGATCATTGGATGACAGCATGACGATTATGCAATACCCTATCATGTAAATAAATGATTTGAACGGGTATGCATTACGACCTTAATCACGATTCAGATATACGACCGATAACATCTGAAACCCACCAATAATCAGGCCGACGTATGTGTCGTGCTTCTTCCATGCACAGGACATCAGTGTGCCGGTTGTATCGTTCAGCACGGCACAGACCTTTATCTGGACGTCCTGCGAACACGATAAGAACTGGATAGTATCGGTCGGCTTTGAGGCCGAAAAACGCCTACTGCTATCGGGGAGAGCGATACCGGTGCACTAAAGATCACAGTGGCGTTAGGTCAAGACTGAAGAGCGTGACGGGGTCTTATGATAAGCTATGAAATGCGCATTATATAAGCATTTGAAGAGTTGTGATAGACATTGGAACGGAAGAGACAACCACTAACAATCGCCGCGCTGTATTGTCAAGCAGTAATAAGAGTTGGCTCATTAGTTGTGGTGTCGATTTGAATACTCGTATATTCCGACACTTAACGACTAAAACGACTGTAAATAATGTGGTGTTATCTCAAAATGCCGCAAGTTTCTGCACTGCCGCCACTCACATTCCGTCTTTGGATGGCCTCCTCCAGCAGTTTGACAACATCCTCTCCCTCGACTCCGCTGCAGCTGAAGCCTTTGGTCCACTGCGCCAGCCGCGCCTCGGTCAGGCCGTGCTGACTGCACGGAAAGCTAAACGTGAAGCCCAGCGGCAGCACCTCGTGTTCAATGTGCTGTGCGTGCGCGAACGTCGACAGACACTCGGCGATGTGGTCAAACAACTGTGGGCGGAGAACGAGAGAGCTGGGTTAGTTAAGGAGTAAACACCAACGAAGCTACTAGGCGATATGGATGACCGTAGACCTCTGTATACAAAGGTCTATGGAATGATGCATTTATCTTTCGAACCGCTATTCAATATTCATATCAAAATAAGCTGGAAATGCCTTCGTTGGAGGAATTTCAGTAAGATGGTCACGCAATGGGTAAAACGAGTAACTAACTGAGAATGAAGTAAATGGGTATCTTAGTACCTACGAGTAAAAATTCATGGCTCCAACAATGTTTTATATTTACAACGAAATTATAAAGTCTTCGGGCCGATCTTTAGCAATGCAGCCTCTTTGAGTGACAATAGACTTTAGCTCAAGCAGTATACAAAGCCAGCGGAGCGAATTACACCACGGCTACGATTACAGAGGATTAGATACGGTCAGGATGGGGATCTACCGACCACCAATGACGTATAAATCAGGCGATACCGCGTAATTCCCGAGCTTTGCCGTAGGATAGCCTATCTGCGGTGCACTAGGGACAAGCTACGACGCAGTAGGTTTCATCAACATCAGCTTTTGTTTAGGGTTTGATATACAAATAGTAACGCTGAGCCCTGTGAGTGCACTCATAGGGACTAGGGAGTGATTTAAGAATAGCTTTCTATCATTTGATTCAGTGCTCATTGAGCCGCGTTCCACTCAATAGAATGCTCGGCTGCGGCAGCTATTTCATTGCACCAGACACATTCCAGTGTGTCTGGAATTTATCGATGATGTAGCTGGGAAGCGTCGCCTTGAGCCCCTTATGTAGCCATTTCATCAGAAACACGGCAGTGTCTATCCTCACCATGCGTTCCAGGTAGCTCGGGGAGTTATGCCCTTACGAGAAACGAAAAACACATTGCTTTAATCATCTTCCAGGTAAAATGCCACACTTGATTTACCTTTTGACTTGCCTTTTGACATAGAAGTGACCGTTCAATATCATGTGGTCGTACGTGTGAGAAACGTTTCTCACATTTTGGCTGTGCATTGTTGCCGGTCTGACTGCGTGGGTAGTGGTACTTACATCTTTCCCAGATCCGGTCATAATGTGATGCGGTACGGCAAAGATCCGGGACTCCATCTTGAAGTCGCCGTCGTCCAGCTCTATTAGGAGCACACGGAAGTTGGTTCCTCCCAAGTCCAGAGCGAGAAACCGGCCACGTTCTGCAACAATAAGACGATAGGTAAGTGATTCAGATAGCTCGCAAGGCAAAAACATAGACACCGGCATATTGAGGGCATTGATAAAACACACATATTTAATATAACTTGCAAATACGGCGCAAATCGCCCTGACCACGCTGGCCTCCCCTCTAATTCATAATTATCCAGGTGACAATTGAAAACATTAATGGCTATGACTTCTGTATGTACTCAGAATTATTGACAATATTGTCAATAGACTACGCTAGTGGTAACGCCTGAATCCATACTGCACCGCACGGCATCTCCCGTCCAGTCAAGCTTGACGTCACTGTCCATAGATGGCGCTAACAGTAACGCCTGCATCTAGACTGTACCGCACGGCACCTGTCCAGCCGCCGCACTGGCGGATAGACTGTGCCGCACGACATGCAGCCGTTCGCTGCTCACGCTTTTAGCGCATTCCACTCCCCACAAGTAAAGACGGTGAATTCGGTGAGAAACAAATGCATCTGGAACGAGTGCTGACTACTGAGGATTAAGGACTTGGTGTCTGGTTCTGCCTCGTAGTTCAAACAAACTGGAAAATTGAGCTTTTTGAGCATGACGCGTCTGGAAATGAGCCGTGTAATAACGTCCAGATAATTTAACAAAAGAAAGCGCTATTCATCCTGATCAACCATGATTTTCAGCTATAGATAAATAAATATTGGACAAATTTTGTAAATCATGCACGGCGCAACTCATGCTACATCGAGACAAGGCAGGCCAGAAAGAGCTAAATCATCCTCAGCTCTCGGCACTCGTCAGAGGGGTATAATTGTGTGTAATCAGCAGCGTTCGGCCGTAGTCATCTGCCCCGCGGCTAGGTCACGAACGCCCGAGGGCGGACCCCGCGGCTGGCAGAGGTGTCCTTCACACCAGTCCAAGGTCGATGACGCCGCATCCCCGGGCCGGGAGACGGCGCGCGCACCTCTCCATCCCCAGCCCCGCCCCTTGCCATTGGGTCATCTCCGCGGGCGGTGAATGACGTCAGAGGTGGGGCTCGGCGGCCAAGCCCATGGCGGAACGGTGACTGTCGGCTCTGAGCCGTGACAAAATGCGACGCGATAAGAAAAATGGCGGGAGCAATACGGCCAGGAGCGTATCTGGACCCATGGCCATACCAAATGAAAATGATTGGAAGACGGCGTGATAGCTAGCCCCCAGAAGGCGTTACCACGAACAATTTGGAAAATAAATTCTCTTGTTATTTGACACAGCTCGAACCAGTGTACATACGTGGACGTCGTACAGCTGACACGGACACCAAAAGGATGCATCGGGCTCCATTGACAGCCGTTATGTGCAATCCCCGGAAAGCCGACCGGAGTGACAAATGACAGTGTCGCCGCGCCTAGCCAGCGTCCACGTCCCTGGCTCATGACAGTGGTGACGGTGGTCGTGGCAGTCCTCACGTGCAGTGGCGGCACGTGGCGGACGAGGGCGCGCCGCCGAACCACAGACGTCACCGCGCGGCGGCGCTATTTTTGACAGCAGGGCGCGACACGGCAATGGAGTCGTTTGGTTCGGAACGGCCCAAATGGTGCTCACGGCTCCCGGAGACGGGGAGCTGGCACGACACGAGTCGGGTATCAACACACGGGAAACGGCACGTCGTCAGGGGCAGAAATATCGGGCCAGGACCACCGCGGGGGCATGGGTGTGGCCTCAGCCTGGTAACAGTCGTGTTTTTTTTTTATAAGGTAACTATCACTTAGGCACCTCCAGCGGATTCAAAATATAATACCGCTGTATTACGTAGATATTACGCTGTATAATGTAGATATTACGCATTAGCGGAAGTGCAAATATTATTTCAGAGAGCTATCGTCTAATAAATATATGTGATGCTCAGTTGGCGACTTTCTGTTGGGCGGTTGATTAACGTGACACGTTCAAAATTTTATCTTTCCACTTTAGTGTCCACAGGCGACTTGTACTGCGCAGTTATGCTTAATAAAACTCAATCTCCAGCCGCTGCAGGTAATCAAACATCTCTTTGGCTGTAGCTATGCCGGAACTCTGAATACTTACAAATACAGGCCGTCTAAATAATTGGAAACCCCAATAAGAAATCCACGCCACTGCCTTCTAAGAACCGCGAGGTGTTTACGGAAGTCACCGAACAACCCGATCGACATTGAATGAGGTCAACCCTAGGTGCAAAGGTCACGTAACAACTAAGCACATTTGGCCGCGGTGTCTGGAGTCGTAGGCCTATTCATGGTACAGCCCACCGCTAAAGTAATGTAGGGTTTTACCAATCTCAACGGTTGGCTTTGACTGGCGATTGTTTAATGCGGAGTGATCGAAAAGAAGATGTCAATAGCTAAAGTTGCAGCTGCAAGGGTGACGATACATATAAGCTACATTCAAAGTTTCATTGTAGTCTGGCTAATCGTTCCTAATCTTCAGAAGCAGAACATACCCATGTCTGAAACCCCACATTACTTCTGCTGTGGACTGTACATCGTACCCGTATAACGATGGTCTTTAGTAAGCTTTTGCAACGCAAGCTGTCGAATCAATAAATTCTAACAACATATGCAACGTGAGAAACATGAGAGAGGGCCAACTGACGCATTTACTTTTGGTTTTAAAAGCGGCACTGTTTTAACCCGCGCCCCGCTGGGGGGGGGGGCAGAATCTGCCCCCCCTCCCGTTTTTCGCCAATAACTTCTAAACGCGTTACGCCAGCGACGTCAAACTTTTGGTACCTTATCATACATCAATTTGACACGTTCCCTGAAAATTTGAGCGAAATCCGTCGGAAATTGTTTGAGAAATTGACGTTTTAGTGACGTCATGTTCGCCATTTTCGCCTCAAAAACGGCAAAATTTCAAACGCCGCTAACATCTTCATTTTTAAAGGAATCAAGACGTAACAAAAAAGGTTATGCGTGTTTTCACTTTGTCTATCAAATGGCTATCTCGGTTTTTTGAAAATTTTGGATTTTGGCCCAAATTTTTTCAAAAAACTGACTTTTTTGGGAAAATAATTATAAAATCCAAAATTTTGAGTGTATCAAAAAAACCGGAATAAATGTCAGAGAAGTGGTCTATGTGCACCTACATACCAATTTTGAGAAGAATCGGTTCAAAAATGTGGGAGTTATTCAAAATTTTATGACGTCACGACACACAAATTTTTTGAAAAATGACTTTTTTTGGAAGTTCTAGACCTCGTACGGAAACAAAAATAGCACCATTCGATTCGCCGTGAAAAACTGCATCAGATAGACACCTTTTTAGGCCTTAAAAACCAACTTCAAAATTTGACCTCACTTGACCTGACCTTGACCTGACCTTGACCTGAAATTCATCCAGAGGTGGTCCATATCACTTATTGAGTGTGCCTATTGAATTCTATGAGTAAAATGACCCATAAAACATGTGTCGCACATGCCCTTTACTATATTTTGTTTTTGGTGACCTGACCTGACCTGACCTGACCTTGACCTTGACCTTTGAATGACATTGTATGCAACGAATATTGTCTTGGTAGTCTAAGAACACGTTTTGGGCAATCAGTCTCAGTCCATTCTTCGGCAACTACGGTGCAAGGCCGATACTGTAGAAACTTGCATTTTGTACCCTTGACCTGACCTTGACCTGACCTCTGACCTACTTAAGCAAAAAAAAATTGGGCTCTTGAGATCCGCCTTGTTGAGAGCTTTCGATTGCCGTTTTCCCCGTCTTTCTACGACCATCGGTTCGGAAGTTAGACAGGGGGGGGCAGAGTCTGCCCCCCCCCCCCCCCCAGCAGGGCGCGTATGGCTGAATAGCCCAGTGGGGCGCGGGTTAATAAATAACGACCCCTGGAAGATGTGTATGTGGAAACACTTCTATGGGATGATAGCGACGATGAGCTGAATGGGACTTGAATGCTGAATGAGACTGAATGATGACTGTCGCAATACAGGAATGCCTATTGTACCAAAGTACAGGAATTATACAACAGATACTGTGCCGCAGTACACGGATACTGTGCCGCAGGACAAAGATAAACTGAATGAGAATGCGATGCCTACTTTTGCTCGTGAGCATGACTCAGCATTACCGTCATGGCGTCATTTGAGTTGTGTCATAGTCATCACGTGGTAAACAAACAACTACTCCGAGTCACGCCCGAATGTAACTTGTTCCGTTACTGGGAGTCGTACAATGCAAATACCGTTTGAAAGCAGCTGATTCGAGCATAGTGCAGAAACGGTAAGATGACAAAATGGGTCATATGAATGGGTCTATGCTCCTTTGTATCATCAATTATGACACCTTTTTATCTATGCAAGAAGACAAACGACCATTCAGTCCGCAACTACTGGGTAGCCAGGTGTCAACCAAAGTACATAAGCCCAAAGGCTGGGATGCATTTCACCTAACGATTAAAATTACACGAAAACCAGCAACAGCACTTTGCGCTTTAGTATTTACAGCGCGATCGCATGGTAATTTTTATTTTACTATTGACGAATGGTTTGATGATGATGATGATGATGAATTGGGTTTTTGGGCGACTGGACTACAATGGTCATCGGAATGGTTTGATGAGCCAAACGCGTTACGCGGGAATAAAAGGTAAAACAATAAACATGAACCAAACCAAGGTGTTCCTGTACTTAGGCACAGTATTTCTATATTGTGGCACAATATCCCTGTGCTGCGGCACAGTATCCGTAAACTGCGGCACAGTATCTGTGTATAACTCATGTACTTTAGTACAATAGGCATTTCTGTAGTGCGGCACAGTATCCGTGTATTGCGGCACAGCATCCCTGCATTTATGTTTGCCGCGGCACTCACCGTGTCCATTGGGTAGTTCCTTGACGTAGGTGGGGAAACATTTGACGGTGGCCCTCTGGTTCGTGACCCGGCCCAGTCCCAGGTTGATCTGAGCCAGTAGGCTGGAGTAGACCTCCTGAATCTGCGCCTGACTTAGCACCAGGTCCTGGCACGCCTCCTCCATCTGCAAGGTAAACGGGAACCGCTCAGTTTGGAGCGATATAGCACAACGAGCAGCTACATGGCTCACTCGAGGGGTTCGCCCCGTACAGTTTTGCCAGTAAGTTCATGGGAGGGGCGATAAAGCGACACGGATATTGCATGATAAATTAGCGCTCACGAAAGAAAGCTCCAATGAATGCGGCAAAAAAAGGCTGTTGCTATTCAGATGATAATAGATAAATGGAAAAGAGACCAAGGCGGAATCCAGGCGATAGGATGTAAATGAACACCCCAAATTTGGGTTAATAATGCGAACAATTTACAAATGAAAACGTTCTAGGAAAAGTTTAGACCTATAACTTTAATCGTTCATGTGGTCTGTGGATATGCAATAAAAAAGTATCCAGCACGGCATGACGCAACAAAGGTGGAGAGTTAGAGATAGCAGTCGTGACGAAATCCTCCTGGAAAATGAGGTCGTCGAAACGACTCATTTATCGTCAGTCATAATCGTATTTTTAAATAGCCTGATCACGCAACACGAAACGAATAATCCAAATCCCAATTCCCATTGTCCAGCCACTGAACGGCAGAGGTCCGGAACATTCTTTTCCGCACATCTCGGCTATCGATTCGGTTGCATCACACCCCCAGCAGGCGACCAATGAGAGCACAGCGGCAGTGGGATCGACCAATGAGCGGCCTGCATGCCGGGGTGTGTTGGGCCGACGTCAGAAATAAGTCCAACCCGGCCCCTCTCCCCTCTCGGGCCCTCGGCCCCTCTCCCCTCTCCCCGGCCCCGTGTGTAAGCCGCTACGCTGCGCCGCACGGGAAGACAGTCGGCGCGATTGATAAAGGGTTGGAACTGAGGGGAGATTTGGCAGAGGACCAGACAGCAGTGCCAGGAGGGTCACAGAGCCGACCACCGCCCCAGAAATAGAAACTGGGCGTGCACATTGCACGTGAGTCGGAGCGGTGACCTGGATAGCTGTGGACTGGCCTGGATAATAAAATAATAAGCTTGTGGACTGGCATGGATGATAATTGTTGTGCCCTCGGGGTGGGGGAGGTTTGGACAAACCTGCGTCCGCCTCACTTGCGGTTTATTCCCCCACACACACAACAGAAAAACACATGGCACTATCTCGGCCAAGGTCAAGAACGGAAAAGCTCTAGAGGTGACTCGACACCTCTTCGTCCTTACGACCCAAAACAGTTGGCAATCATAAAGAGAGGGGGTGAACAGGTTATGCGAAATAAAGGATCGAAACTGAACAAAGCCATTTCGAACCAAACATATTACTAACTAAGTGTCGATCGTAATATAAAATCATAATCACCGCAACGACCAACACTATCAACAAAGGCGTAAAACTCAAACGATAATTGCGCGTCCGCGCCAATCGGCTGCGCGGTCAGCGCCACTAAATTAGTTCTCGCCACAACACCACCCCTCTCTTTAATGGGAAACACTCCCGCTTCTTAAGCCTCCCACTATCCGCGGAAACCATTACACTCACAGCTATCAAACGTAACTTACGATGATAGCCCAATCCTAAACGCTACTCGCCCGGAGTGAACCGATCTGGGCCTCTGCGACCCCGCCTGCTACGGCGGGGCCCTGGCTCACCCGCCGGGGCGGTACACTTTGGGGTTGGACAGCGGCTGTGAGCAGGACTTCTGAGTGCCGAGGAGCGGGTGCGCACTGGCGTGGGGCGGGGCTCAGGAACTGGATAAGCACCACCGCCGGGACCACCCCGCGGCGCGGCCGCGTCCTCACCTTCTGGCCGGCCGGGCACCAAGCGTCTAGCGTGGACACGCTCGCCGCTGGTGAGCCGGTAACTTACCGGGCCAGTCCTCCGGCTGATCTGCACGGCCCTCTGGCCCTCCACACGTCCACTCACCGGCTGTCGGACCCGAACCCAGTCGCCGACGCGCCAGCGCGGGGCGCCGGTCGACCCCCGGTCATATCTGGCTTTGTAGGCCGCCTGATACTTTTCGTGTCGCGCACGAAGCTCACCGCCGGTGTCCGGCGAGGAAACCTCACCTGGCACGACGTCCAGCAACGTCCGTGCCTCCCGCCCCCGCATCAGCCGGAACGGCGTCTCTCCCGTACCTGCGTGCGGGGTAGCCCGGTACTCAGTGAGGAACCGCCTCAAGTACTCCGAGCGCGGCTCCCGGGCCAGCCGGGCCGACTGGATGGCGTCTTTTACCGTCCGATTCAGACGCTCCACCATGCCGCAGGACTGCGGAGAGTATGGTGAGCTGAAAGTCTGCTTGACCCCCAGTCGGGTCAAAAAATTACGGAGTTGGGCAGACCGGAACGCTGGACCGTTGTCGGAGACCAGCTCCAACGGCAACCCCTCGCGGCTGAACACCGCCTCCAGGAAGCTGATTATAGACGCCGCCGTCGCGTCCCGACACAGCGCCACCTCTGGCCACCTGCTGAACATGTCGCACAAGACGATGCCGTACCGCTCGTGCTGGGGCCCCTGCATGGGCCCAATCACATCGATCATGAGGCGCTGCCACGGACCGTCCGGAAGAGGAATCGGCTGGAGAGGGGGCCGCTCCTGCCGCACGTGGCCGTCATGCTGCGTGCACACCTCACAGCTCCGCAGGAGGTCACGTACCTCCTTGTCCAGCCGCGGCCACCAGAACTGCGCGCGCAGGCGCTGCTTGGTCCTTGTCTCACCTTGGTGACCCTCGTGGGCGTTCCTCAGGACGCGCTCACGCAGCGCCGCCGGCACAACCAGTCGCTCGCCGCGGAAAAGCAGCGGTCCGAGCTGGGACAGTTCGTCTCTCACCTGGTAAAAACCAGTCGCCCGAGGATCGACATCCCTCTGGCGAGGCCACCGTCCGGCGAGGTACCCCCGGATCACGTCCAGACACTCGTCTGACGCCGAGGCGTCCCTCAGCTCCTCCTCCGTGACTGCTGCTGCTAACGACAGAGCCGCGATCTGGATAGAATCATCATCAGGCCACCAGGTCTCGGCGACCGGCAGACGGGACAGGCCGTCCGCCACTCCGTTCCGCTCCGACCTGACGTACTCGACGTCGAACGCAAACTCCAGCAGCCGGGCCTCCCACCTCGCGACTCGCCGGCCGACGCGGTTGGAGCCCTTGACACCGAAAATGGTGCAGAGAGCTTGGTGATCGGTTCGGAGGGTGAATCGCCGACCCCACAGGTAGTGGCGAAACTTCTCGACGGCCCATACACATGCCAGCGCCTCCTTCTCCACTACCGAGTAGTTGCGTTCGGCCGCCGAGAAAGACTTCGAGGCGTACGCAATGACCCTGGGCTGACCCGAGGCGTCCATTTGCGTCACGCACGCACCGCAGCCGACGTCACTGGCGTCAGTGGAGAGCACCGTTCGTAGCTCCGTGCTGAACATGCACAGTGCTGGTGCTTCGCTTATCGCGTCCTTGACGCGGCGGACCGCGCTGGACAGCGCCGCCGTCCACTCGAACTGGTCCGCCCGGAGCGCGGCCCTCAGCGGCTCTACTGCGTCCGAGAACCGCGGCAGAAACCGCGCATGGTACCCTACGGCACCGAGGAATGCGCGCAGGCTCTTTTCGTCCCGCGGCTCGGCCGCCTCCAATAACGGCCTGATCCGCTCCCGGTCGATGCGGACACCAGCTGACGAGACCAGATATCCCAGAAAGGAGAGCTCGCTCTGATTCGTCACGCTCTTGGGCCAGTTGACCCGCACCTTGTGGGCATCGAAACGCCGCAGCACTTCCCTCAGACGGGCGTCGTGCTCGGCCTGGGACGGCGCGTGGACCAGGATGTCGTCCAGGTATACCTCCACGCCTGGCACCCCCTCCAGCATGGACGCCATCACTCTCTGGAAGCACGGCCCGGCGCTCGCGAGGCCGAAGTTGACGCGCCGGAACCGGTAGAGTCCCTGATGACTTATAAAAGTCGTTAGGTCTCTGCTGTCAGGATGGAGCTCCAGCTGGTGATATGCATCCTTTAAGTCCAGCCTGGAAAAGACCTGAGACCCACTCAGGCGGTCAAGGACATCTTCGATCCTGGGGAGCGGGTAGCCATCCGTAATCACAGCTTTGTTGACCCGCCTCATGTCTACACACAGGCGGATGGACCTATCCCGCTTCCTTCCCACCACAAGAGGAGAGACCCAGGTAGATGCACTGACCTTCTCAATTATCCCTTGCTCCTCCAGCTCCTTGAGCCTGGCACTCACCTCGTCCAGCACTGCCAAGGGCAGCCTCCGCAGGGGCTGGCGCACTGGCGCCACCCCTGGGTCGATGGTCACCCGGTGTTGGTAGCCCAGGATGGCTGGCTGCTCTCCTGACGGAGAAACAGGTCCAGTCGGAGAGGCAGGTCCGGACGGTGAGGCAGGTTGACCGGCGTGAGGGCTGCGCTGGCTCAAGGGCCCCAGGTGCCAGGTGTCTGGGGAGGAGGGACACTGGGGAGCCAGAGTCTACCGTGAACACGACCTCCCTCCCCTCCACCTGGGCTGTCAGAGTCATTGGTGATGCCCCGATTGCCAGCACTTGAACACTGGACACCACTCGCTTCTGGACACAGTGCTGGGCAAAGTGATTCACTTTCCCACATTTGGAGCACTTCACATTGACAGCAGGGCAACACTGGTCCCCTCGCCTGTGTCCAGCACGCCCGCACCCCCAGCACAGGCTACTGCTACTCCCTGCCGGCCTCTGCTGCTGAGGCTGTTGCTGATGAGTGGAGACCCGACCAGCAGCACGGGTCCTGGCCCCACCACGCTGAGGCCGCCGACGCTGCTGCTGCTGCTGCTGGACAGCCTGAACAGGGACTGGAGCAGCTGGTGTCTCCATCACCCGAGCCTCACGTTCAGCCGACTCAAGTGTGTCACTGATGGTGAGGGTGCGCTCCAAAGTCAGGTCAGAGCCCTCCATAAGAAGTCGCTGTCGCAACTTGGAAGAGTTAGTACGCTCGATGACCTGGTCCCTTATGAACTCGTCGGTTCTGTCACCATATTCACAGGAGCTGGCCAGCTGGCGCAGTATCGACACCCACTGCTGGACTGTTTCCTCAGTTTGCTGCACCCGGCTCCTGAAACGGTAACGCTCCACACACACGTTCTGGCGAGGAGCGAACTGGGCCTCCAGGCGCCGCCTGGTGAAGGCGTACTGGTCCTCGCCTTCCTGCTTGACAGCAGCTGGGAGGGACTCGAAAATTCGCTGCCCCTCCGCCCCCAGGCACGTGAGAAGGATGGCCTCCTTGCGCGCAGCTGAAAATGAGCCGCCGCCCACGGCCACCAGGAAGTTATCGAACATCCTTATCCACCGCGGCCAGGCCGTACCGGGCTCGGCGCCGGCCGCCGGCAAAAACGGCGCAGGGGCCACCGAAAAATCCATGGCCGACAGTTATCACGGCCGCGTAAAAACTTACGCCTCGTCGCCACTTGTTGTGCCCTCGGGGTGGGGGAGGTTTGGACAAACCTGCGTCCGCCTCACTTGCGGTTTATTCCCCCACACACACAACAGAAAAACACATGGCACTATCTCGGCCAAGGTCAAGAACGGAAAAGCTCTAGAGGTGACTCGACACCTCTTCGTCCTTACGACCCAAAACAGTTGGCAATCATAAAGAGAGGGGGTGAACAGGTTATGCGAAATAAAGGATCGAAACTGAACAAAGCCATTTCGAACCAAACATATTACTAACTAAGTGTCGATCGTAATATAAAATCATAATCACCGCAACGACCAACACTATCAACAAAGGCGTAAAACTCAAACGATAATTGCGCGTCCGCGCCAATCGGCTGCGCGGTCAGCGCCACTAAATTAGTTCTCGCCACAACAATAATGAACGGACCATCTGCTGGAAACAGCTGGATAGTGACAGTCGAGATTGATAGTTTATGAATATCGAAAGGTACTAACCACAAAAGACAGAAGAAGACAGTTGACGCCGAATGCACTGCTTAATAAACATATCAATAACTGATTGGCGAAAACCGAGCGGTCTTTAGTGAAGGAAAGCACATATCTAAGTGCTTTAATAAAAATACCACAAATGTATATGTCAAAGAAAAAGCAAATATATCGATGTTATGCACAAGCGATAACACATTTGTCAACGCAAAATGCACTACATAGAGATCGCTATGAAGTCTTTCGCATAAAACTTTTATTTAGAAAACTTGGCAGTGAGCCTCATTCGTAAGCTATAGGTAGTTTCTCTGCGTTGACTTAATAACCACTAAAAATAAAGCATTATAGTTCTCGCAAAATGTATGTTGCATCCATAGCGTAAAAAACTACCTACAGACATAAGTATTAAAAATAGATAGGTATATGCGAGATCGCATTCCAAGTCCTGCATGACAGACAGCCCAGCACCTGCGTGGTTAATTGCCATCGCAACGCTCAATCACAAACGGTCGTCGACTCCATCCGCTGAGGAGGGTCCGGTGCCCGGGCCACCGCCCTCGGCTACACCACTCACCCTGGCTGAGGTGGGCGTGGTGACGATGGTGCCCCTCTCCGCCTCGGCACCGGGCAGCCTCAGACACTCGGGCATTGCCTCCGCTATCGACCTGCGTGGTCCCGTTCGACGCTGGCCGGCTCGCCGCACCGTCTAGCGACCTTCAGTCGATCGCCGGCCGCCGGCACCGACGCCCTCCGGCGCGCGGCCCACGCGCGTGCGCCGACCCATCGAGCCAGCCGACACGGCCGACACGTGACTCATGACGTCACAGCGTCGCCTGCGACGTAGCCTGGTGGCCTGATATGCTGGCATGACCGGGCTCTGGCCAAATCTGTCCCTCGGCGTAGCGGTGTCACGAGCAGAGCGGAGCGACCGGAGATATGTGGACGAGAGATTCTCAGCACAGAACGTGGAAGTTCCCACAAATCGATAGGTGGGACTATACTCCTACTTATGCATGAGTTAGTCAATTGATACCTACGTCCTACAGGTTATTCGATTTATTAGTATGCGGCGCTACGTGAAGCTTCGTGGACCTTTTTTAATATTCGCGTCAAATAAAAACAAGGAGTCGATTGGTCGCTAAAAGGGATGCCCCGGCGAATGGGAACGTTAAGTCGAATAAGGCGCAAGCGTTTGTAAAATTAAAAATGTAAACATCTTTTCGGGAAACCTGCCCTTGGACGGTGCGAGAAATTTTACACTGAGACACATTAAAACCAAGCTAAAACGATATGGAACGGGTTTGTTTTGTGCCGTTTAATGGCGTGGCTAAGAGGACGATAGAGACGTTAGGTGTTATTCAACGGTTAAACGGATTCCACAGGATTACCCAACAGATTAATTTCGTCCACGTACAATTCCACGGTCGGCAGTGTAGACTGCAGGTCATGGAAAAATCCAATTCCGTGTGATGTTGACCCAGGACGGTACGGTAGTGACGGAGCCCTCCACCTGTGTAAACAGCGGATGGAGCTCTCCATCGCATTTCCACCAGTCTTCTGAGCAGATCTCGTGACCAGGCCTCGGGCTGAGTCACGATTTGCACGGTTCCACAAATGTCGTAGTTTGAGCCGCTACTAAACACGACTGCGATGGAAAGTTGGGCTTACGAAACCGTCGGATGTCCGGTGAGACATGAGTTGGACATGACTGAACGGAAGACGTCGGAGACAGGTGCCGGCGGTCGACTGTTGCGTCAGCTGTTGTTGAAGGTCAGGCTTGGCACCGGTGTGCCAAAGACTGGATTCCAATTGCATGCCACATTCTGGAACATTCTGATAAGCCGAATGATACATGTATTAGACAGATAGGTAGGTATAGAATCCGTTTTATACCTAATAGGGGACAGTGCACACTCCTATGGTTCCTTTTTATCCAAAACCTTCGTATTTCGCCGTATGTGCTGTTTTCCTATTGAAAGCGATTTATAAAACAAACATGCCATTTGTATAGGACCAAGTCAGCGATAGCCTTAGGTCATTTGCCGGTCATGTCGAAACACTATCACAGCAGATTCTGAAGTCTGAAGTCTGAACATACGTAGGTAGACCCGAGACCGGAGTAAGAATACTTAAAGGAAATAGTTCACCTTTAACATGGGGTTTTGAACTGGAATATGCTTAGGAAGGAGAATGCCTACACATTGCAAGACCATCCGATGGAACTCGACGCCGCTCGACCTGGAGGTCAACAAAGGTCACGGGCTCCAAATTTGAAACCTGAACTGTAGGTTAGAGTGCGTTTTTTTTTTCTTTCAATATAGCGGTTCGCAAGAAAAAGCATACCTAACTACCTACGGTGCGGCCCCGGGCCCTGACTATCGAATTGCCTCTGTCTCGAGTATCGACCAACAAAAATGGTGTTCTTTTGATCGCTAGGTATTAGTAGTTCTAATCCCGAATCCGATATTCAAGATGTGCTGCGAGTGTTTATTCGACATGACCCGTAAGTGACGCTATAGATCATTGTTATAGATCATTCAAAGATCTTTAGATTACACACATTGATAACTGGAAAGTAACTTCAGGTCAGGGCGATCACATCACTTGGAGCCCTTTTCAGCGGTAGCGGCGGTGCACCTTCAATTAAGGGGGGCAGCGGCGTATTTAGAAAATCGCGAAGGGGGGGGCCAAGGGTTTGGAGGGCGCCACCTCACCCAAGGAGGGCGCCATACGGTCGCGAGATAAAAAATCGCTCAGCGGGGTGGGGGGGGGGGGGGGGGGGTTGGGAGGCGTTTTTTACCATGCCACCAGTTTTTTTTTTTTGCGTAACCTCGTATAGGTCGTGCTGCATTGATTTTGCATCGTGTGTATTCTTTATACTCCAGGTCACAAAAGGTCAAGTGTTCTTGAAATGCTGCGCCGAAGGCGCGCGAAATTTTTGAAAACAACCTTTTCCTCCGCTTTTTAGGCACGCCTTTTATACGATCACCGTTCAAAGCTCCTCTCGCTCTTTTACCAAATTTGAAGGTGTAAAAAATACCTAAGGTTTGGTCGGGCCGCTGCCACACAAACTGTATAGAAAGCTTGGCTCATGGGTGTCGATGTATAAAAGTTTATTGGCGGTGGCATATCTACGCACCAGATCACCGTATCGGATTGATACCGGAGCGCGAGATGCGTAAACATCATCCAAATTACCTCAGACCAGCCTTCATAGCCTTCTCACTGATGCATACAGTGTACCCCTACCCACATAACCAGTTTCAATCACCGAAACTTCAGATGCCTGCTGTTGCGGCCGAACCTGTTGACAATACTTAATCGTAATCCATATAGATGCCATGATGCACGTAAAGTAGGATCAATCCGTTAAGACCAAAGACGTGTTTTATGCATCGTAGAGCGTAGATAGTTTTGGTAGGTATAGGTACTTCATTCATTGTGCTGAATGCACGTTCATTTGTGGCAGTTTTCACAGGCAAGACATCAACTATGTGCAATACGAGGGGGTACCCAAAAGTAACGGGAATCGTTCTCTGTAGGCCAAGCCAGTTGTAGCTCGGCATTGCCCTGCTAGGGGCAAACCAGTCTGGCCCCTGGGACTTAGTCTGCACCGTGAGGTGACGAAATAAAGAGGCGCGGCCGCATGGCGCACGTATTTATTGAAGCACTCCCGCCCGATCCGTCGTTTTTTTTATGCATAGCGGAACTGAGCAACAACGCGCATCTGTGAAATTTTGTTTCCTGCTGGGGAAGTCCGCGACTGAAACGGTTCCAATGCTTCAAGTAGTATACAAATATGCTGCCGTGAGCAAGACGCGGGTTTATGAATGATTTTCGCACTTCAAAAGTGGTCAAATGTTATCCCAAAAGCGCCCCAAAAAAGCTTGCCAAGTGAAGTCAAATGTCAAGACAATGCTGATTTGTTTTTTCGATGCAAAGGGAAGTGTGCAAAAGGAAATTGTTCCTCCCTGGTCAAACTGCCAATCAGACGTTTGACTTGGACGTTCTGCGGCGTGTGTGAAACACGGTGAGACGAAAACTCGCCAACAGGTGGCGAAGCGGGGAGTGGTGATTTCATCGCGACAGTGTGCCAGCGCACACCGCCTTGAGTGTCAGACAATTTTGGACAAAAAATGCATGACCCCACGGATCCACCCTCCCTTTTCACCGGATTTGGCACCCTGTGACCTTTTCCTGGTCCCCAGAATGAAAAAGACCTCAAGGGAAACCATTTGGACGACTTTGATAAGGTAAAAGCAAAAACGACGATGGCTCTGCAAGGCATCACCTTGCAAGAGTTCCAGAGCTGCTTTGAGAGCTGGAAAACGCGTCTGCATAGGTGCATTGTCTCGCAGGGAGAGTACTTTAAGAATGACATGAGTGACGATGTGTAGGGATCAGTGAATGAACAGATATGAAACAATTCCCGTTTCTTTTGGGTACCCCCTCGTAGAACGACTAAGTTGAAAAACATGCCAAAGGAGTAAATAAATGATAAGAGGGCAGCGATCAACGGATGTTGCCAATAGGTAGAAGGGCTGCGATCCACAGGAGGGCGCTAATAGGTAGGAGAGCCCCGATCAACATCCCGAGTTTCGATAGTAGGGCACCGATAGGTAGGAAGTTGGCGAGCAGCAGGAGGGCGCCAATGGATAGAAGGGCAGCGATCAACAGGAGGGCACCAATAGGTAGGAGGGCCCCGATCAACAATCAACAGGAGGGCGCCACCAAGTAAGAGGGTGGCGAGGAACAGGAGAGCACCAATAGGAGGGTGGCGATCAACAAGAGGTCGCCAATAGGTGGGAGGGCGGTCATCAACTGGAAGTCGTTAATGAGCGGAAGGGTGACGATTAAAATGGGGGTGGCAATGGTGAGGAGGGCGCCTTTGCTCAAGAGGATGACACGAACAGGAGGGCGTCTGTGCGGAGGGCGCTGGTCAACAGGCAGGTACCAGTGGATAGGAGGGCGGTGATCAACAGGAGGGTGCCAGTGGTTAGGAGGGCGGCGATCAACACGAGGGCGCCAATAAGAGAAGGGCCCCGATTAACATTCAACAGGAAGGACTAGGGAACCAATAGGTAGGAGGGCGGCACTGAACAATAGGGTGCCAAAAATGAGAAAGGCGGCCTTGAAAATTTCACATGAGGGGGCAATAGGTAGGAGAGCGCCAATAATTATGAGGACGCCGATCAGCAGAAGGGCGGCAATATGTAGCAGGGTGGCGACCTACAGGAGGGCGCCTTCGGGTGAGAGGGTGCTTATTTACGGGACAGCGGCTTACATAGGCGACCACCGTTACGCTTAGAGAGCTACAGCCTACAAATGTGGTTGGAGGGCGCCCGAGGGAGCCCTCCAACCGTATTTGGAGGGCGTATTTGGAATGGGCGTCCTCCGAGGGCGCCCTCCATCCGTATTTTCCCTGTAAACACATTCGCGATTGGAGGGCGCCCTCCAGTCGCGATTGTTTTTCGATTCGATTATATCACAATTGCATTTGCGATTGGAGGGCGCCTTCGGCGCCCTCCAATCGCAAAGGGCGCCTTCGGCGCCCAAGGGGGGGGCCATGGCCCAGTGGCCCCCCCCCTGCCTACGCCCCTGAAGGGGGGGGGGGGGCACTGCCAACTTTTGGTCCCATTCTTTCCATGCAACGCCCATACAGCATAATGTTAAAATGGCAAAATCAAGGGGGTACGGTGCCCCGGTGCCCCCCCCCCCTCCCCGTTTCGCCGCCTACGCTTTTCAGCGCTCTTAACTCCATGACTGGGTCTACAGTCTGCTGTCCATGACCTTTTTCGACCTGCTTAGGTCAACGGCTAAGTGCGTCGGCACATCGTTTCGAGTAGGTAAATGCAATTTCCAAAGGTCGCTCACGGTCGTGTGCAATCAAGCGATCCCAATTCTTCAGACTCTGGGCAGAATTGGGGAGGAATTCGGCCGGCCGAATGTAGGGGGGGGGGGCTGTCTAGACGATGTCGGTGAAGAGTTTAATATCGCACATGTGTAACATGCGTTATCTTAACAGTTATATCATAACGTGTTTTGCGCCTAAATAGGTAAACCGCTTACCTCCTTTTTCACGGCGCTGCTCATCTCGACAGTACAGCCCACAGCAAGTTGTATGCGTATCCACCAGTAAACAGATACAGTAATGGTAGAACGACGCTGGCCAGTGGCTTCACCTCGTCACTACTGAGCGGGCACTTCACCGAACCACGACCTCCTCCGCACCACCGAGCTGAGATACTCGAGCGGAGAGTGTGATCGCCCTGCGCCCGCGGGCAGGCGCGTCAAGGCTGCTATCGGCCCTCCCCACGCGGTGTTGGTGGAGTGGGCCCTGATAGCGTGCATGCAGAGCAACGATGATTGCACAGGAGCGTCAACATTGCGTGGAGTGATTCGGTGTTTTTGCACTAGTTGTTATGTTTCGATTGGGCCGTATGGGCGTAGATATACGGACAATGCAGACAAGTCTGAAAACATCAATATCATTACCTATTAGGAGTACCTAAGACTTATAGGATCACATTCGCAATCTTATTAGGACTCCTTTTATAATCACATTGGGGCTCCCATTTAATCTTATCTATTACGATTCGAGTAAAAGCGAGTATCGACCACACGTCTGGTCTCAATTCGTTGTTCTTGGCACATCTGTTATTGTTCGGGGGCTGACGAGTGTCCCTTTGCTCGTCCTTCCTACTGCTGCCGAGATCACTGTCGAATGCTAGGACGTAAACGTCAACACCCCTGCAGGTCAGCAGTGGCCATCACCTGACGACGTTTAGTCGGTAAGCGCGTCGCTAGTCACTCAGTTCCAACCCCCTTTCAATTGATCAAATATTTTAGGGGCAGTGATCAACAGAACAGCAGAAGGGGTAGCAGTGAGACAAGATGCTACCACACAATGCAAATAAACGACTCTGAGTGCAGCATCGAATGGACGGGAACCGGAAGTGCGGGTATGTATGAACTTGAAGATTCACTTTTTGTAATCACGAAACAGATTACAAACATTTCATGATGATAGCGATAAGTGTTGTGGGCGACGTACAAAGTGACCTCCGTTTCGTTCCCAACAAAAACCTTCTTGCAACAGGGCTGCCACCCTTAAATATAGATGTATTGACGGCCGGTTTCGGAACACACACACACACACTCACACACACACACACGAATAACAGTCTGTCATGCACGAAGACGAGGTGGGCGCAGTCTCCGACACCTAGCCGCGGGCGACCACACGCCCAACTGGCACATCGCAGGTGACGCGTACAACGCGGTGGCCACACTGCGCCAACGCCACACCCACGCCCTCGGCTGCAGCCGACCCCGAACCCCCAGACAGGCCCATGGCGACATACAGCAAGCCACGCAGTAACGGTGAGCAAGGGTTGGTCGCTGGCCTATTCGTCAAGGCGCCTTATCTATCCACATTGCTATAGCGACCGATGAGCGAGACAAGTGATGACAGTTGTTTAAGTAACAGGCGACAGTCGATCAGCTGCGAAGTGGAATATTCAAGGCAGTTGATGAAATCACCCATTCTCGGAGCTATCGTCTGCTATATACGAGTATACTGTACATTTAACGCATTGATCGGTCACTACTGTTAACGCCAGACCCCTTGAGACCCTAATTTTTCGCGATTATTTTTAAATGCGTGGAAGAATTTCAACCAAGCTCAGGACATGGCCGTTTCAAGACCTGCCGAAACTTTTACAATTTAGATATTTTGTCACTATTTCAATATTTCAGGCACTTCTCATTGACTCGTAATGTTAAATTTCGAGCAAGATTTTCACCCGGTGTGTAGAGGCTATCACCAGTCAGTCTGTGATACGTTATGACGTCAAAGCTAAGCCCCGCCTCTGTGGTCTTGGCCTGCGGCGGTTTCGGGCCGGCGCGCGGTCACTCGCGCTGTGGCGGGGAGCGGGGACGGTCGAGCGGTGCCGAAAGCCGGCGGAGTTGTGTGTAACGTCTTGTCTGACAGTGCCCAAAGAGCGACATGATGACTGAGGAGCCATAAGTGCTCAATGCGCATTGTTTGTACAATGCTGATAGGTTCGCTGATATTTGCTTTATTTTTCATAAGCTGCAAATGACGGGCAGATGGCATATACCTGACTATATAGGTTAGGAAATATTCACCTGTATTTAAAGCCTATGGCTTTGCAGATAATGTGATAATGGGATGTCGGATGTCATCAAGTAGTTGATTTGTACATCGCTATGCAACCATCGAACAACGCAATAACTAGTTAATTGCCTTCGCTTCACATCATAAGGCTCGCTCGTATTTCAAACATATATCCTACATCGAAAATCGTATTTGTTAGGAATCTTTAACGTTTGTTCGAAGCATGTGTGAGTAGTAGGTTGAGGAGTGATGGTTCTCTTGGTCCTATATACGAGAGTCAACAAGAGCCTAACACCTACTTGACCGTCTGCTGCAATTTGAATTGATACATAGCACGTGAAGCGTCAGCGAAATTCATAGTCCTTTACAGATGGCAGGGCAGTCGTGTGTACAGAGGTCGCTGATGGGCACGGGTCAATGCCGCAGTCGTGGGCGGAGCCTAATGTCATATGACGTATGAAAGCCTCTATCCAGGATGGAAAAACAGTTAACATTACGAGTCAATGACAAGTGCCACAAATATTTAAATGACAACAAAACGTATTTGAAGAAAAAGTTTCGGCAGGTCTTGAAACAGCTATTTCCTAAATATGGTTGAAATTATTCCACGCATTTAAAAATAATCGCGAAAAATTAGGGTCTCAACGGGTCTGGCGTTAACAGTAAATGCCGCACAACCAACTCATAACGCATCGCATCGCTATTCGTAGGTCTAAGATCCAGATAGCTAGGGATGCAGTCCCGAAAGGCTGTTATTTCACCTTACGGATAACCCAGTAAACTAACAAACGAATGATACATCTATGCATCGTATGTATCGTATTATGCATCGCATTATGCAGCTTCATTCGTGTCTGTCATATTTCATCGCACCATCGCATCGCAAAATGCGACGAACCAGCATCATTACACGCGAATCTATCACATTTAAGAGGACGAGCACAATGATCGCGGGACAACCCAAGCACACTTAGGAGCACCGCGCAAAAGCTCAGTCAGTACTTGTCTGTGTATATTGATCCTTTTACGACACGACACTACGATCGTCATAAGCGTGTGCCTGATACGGCGCACCTTGTCTCTTATGACGTAACGTGTCATAAGATACTCATATATTACCTACCCGCTTCTGCAAATAGTTCCGCGGTACTGTTATCACTGCTGGGTCTGGGTGAGCAGAAAAGCCCAATATCAGTTATTGAGAAAAAAGACAATAAAATACGTGACCATGAAATCCCGGAGAGCAAGCACGACCAAATCTGGTGAGATACTCATACGATCTAGGAATAAAAAAAAATTCGCAGCATTGGTACGGTAGCAGCACGGTACTAAGCGAGTGATGCAAATTTATTGCATGCGCCACCTTAACAGTTACATGCAAAGTTTATTAACGTGGTCAGCTAATCATGCAATATATCACGCTAGAAAATCAAACTAATATTCCATAATATTGCATTTGAATCGAAATCAGCAGCTAACTTGCATTTCGAAATGTGTGCATCGTGTCATGGACATTACGGTCCATCATATATCGTCACTGTCGCTTGAAATGCGGTGCGGGTGTAATAGGTACGAGTGAAGCAAGTGGGTCTGTTTTCGGCCCCGTGCCCTGCTCTCTGCTGCAGGGTCACCTGTGACGACTCAGACGGAGACGGCCCTACCGATATGTGCCGTGATCGTATGCGTAAGCGTGTACAGTCGGAACATACTATGCGAGCAGGATCCAGATCACACAGAAGATGCCCAGTCCGAGGAATAGCTTGGAGAGCATCTGATCGTCGGCGTGAAACTGCTGTCCAGGCTGCAAACCTGTACAGAACGATACGTGACGTCAGCTTACTTACGCTGAATTAATGGTTATCACTGTTTCTGCAACCTTTGCATGTTTCGAAAATGCTGTGACACTAAAGCACATTTATCGAGCGACCCTATCTGTAGTCTGTCGCATTCCCTAAGCCTATCACCAGAACAGGCGAACGATTTCAGACACTGGTAGAATCAACCTATTATACATACAAACTAATAGGCAGACACATTGTACAAACTTCTTAAAAACTATGAGTTATACATATTGCATTGAATTATGCATTGAATCTATTCATCACGTTACACATCTCTGAATAACTCGTAATAGTAATTCGGTGAGCCTGTACAAAAAGTCGAATATCTGCGAGATCCAGCAAGAAAACAAATCTGGAAGTCGGAACATGGAGGAGAAAATGACGTTGCTCTGGTTGCCCATAGGGCGAAAAATGATTGTAAATGAGTGAAGGTAGACACCCTCAATGATAAAACTTCAGCAGAGATTCACCAGTCACCACTATATCAGCTGATAAGGCTGGCTAGAAAGTGACAATAATGTTGGCAGCTCAAATACATTCATCTAATTCTATGAGCAACGCAGAAATACGCAACGCCGCCTCCAAAATAAACATTTATGTCCGGAGAACACGACAGTACGAAAAATAAATGAATAAGTAACTAGAAACGATAGCATCAAACAAACTTACCGGCATGAGGATTAAGCCGTTCACCACCGAAGTTCAGTGTGGATGCGAAGAAACCCAGAGGGAATGCGCCAATTCCGAACGACATGTGGAAGTTTGTGTCACCAAAGTTCACTCCACCAAATGTGGTACCCTGCCAATGAGCAACGCGAATGAGTAAGTTCCGGGACAGACAACAGAAAGTTGACACATTATCTCCGATAAAAGAAAAGGAAAGAAAACAAAATAAAACAACATTACATCGAGATAGCTCGGAGGGGACGAATCGTACCTGATTTTCAGGCTCTGTGCGCTGACCAGGCGGTCGCGGAGGCAGCTGGTTGCGCGGATCCTTGTTGGAGCTGTTGCGACCGTACAGAGGGATCACCTTGTCACGGCTGATGGCCGCCTTGCAGACGGGACACACTTGGTTGTTGCGGCGTGTCTCCAGCCACGTGTGCAAACATGGCCAGCTGGAAACATACAAAATACAAGGCATGAAAAAACTAGTAGCTTTACAGTCACATATCAACCAGGCCACACAACATTCAACATTTAGTTTGTTTCAGAGCAGAATGTTGATGTTAAAACTTCAAGTGATAGGTCTTAATTGATTTATGGTACTAAACAGGAAAAACACTGCTATCGATTTATGATTACGAGCGAGCGAGCGCAGCGAGCGAAGCGAAGTCTTTTCAATATAACGGAAAAATCTCAGTATGAGCGGCCCGGCCCGGCCCGGCCCGGCCTGTAACGCTTTTGAGAGGCTTATATCTCAGCAACCACTGGACCGAATGGTCTGCGGTCTTTTTTGCTGGGTAGCCCCATCCCTTCTACCCCGTAATTGACTACTTTTGATACATCTCAGTGACCGCCGTGGCACGTGCCACGTGAAAAGTCAAGGGTGTTCAAGCAGTTTTGCAAAAGTAATGATTTTGAGAGGCCCATATCTCAGCAGCGGCTTGAGCGATTGTCTTGCGGTCATTTTTATAGGGTAGCTGCATCCCTTCTACCAAAGGTCGGATACTCTTCATCTATGTGAGTGACCCCCACTGCACGTGCAAAATACAACAATAAGAGGTGCCAAATTTGTTCCCATTTCTATAACTCGGTAATTACTGGGGCGATTTCGCTGAAACTTGGCATACAGGTAGGCACCCACCAGGCAATGCATTCCCATGTGTTGCGGTTAGGGTGCTACTGCACGTGCGCACGTGCAGGGGGCATTTCCAGATCTCGAGAACGGCTGGGCCGATTGCGCTCAAATTTGGTACACGGTTGGGGACCGATTAGTAGGGTACCGTGCAAAAGTCATTTTGGACCCCGTTTGCACGTGCGCACGTGCAGAATGCCGCTTCCAGATCTCAGGAATGGCTGGGCCGATTGCGTTCAAATTTGGTACACCGCTAGCGACCAGTTAGAAAGGTGCTTTGCACAAGCCCGTTGGAAGTACCCTCTCGCCCTTCCGCACGTGCAGGGCTCACTATCTCGCTCGCTCGTTCTTCGCCCAAAAGGCGTTTTACTGGTTGCATAACATTTCACAATCAAACAATTGTAAACACTTAACAGTCAACTTAAAAAGCCTCACCAGAATAGGTGACCGCACATGCTGACCACAGCATCCCGAGCCTGGTCCAGGCATATGTTGCATTCATAGGCTCCATCAGATGCCTCAGGCCCCTCCTGTCCACCTGTGGCTCCAGCCTCCCCAGTGTTCTCCACTCCTGCCATCGCTGGTGGAGAGAAAAGTTTAAAATGTTAATGATAAGTGAGCAATGGGTCTTTCTCACTCATTAATTAGTGTTTTAAGTTTAATTTGTCTATCCTGTATTGCTCTAGTTACTGTCAACTTGTCTACCATGTAATTCAGTAGGTATTTACAGCATCAACCTTAATTTCATATAAGTTCAACTTCCACTGCCTCTGGCACTCAATGCAAAGCTCTGCACTGGGGGCAGGGATGGGTTATGGAAGGGAACAGTATGCTGTCATTGTGGCACTTTGGATTGAGACAGCAGTTTTCCAAAGTTGGCACTCCAGTTGACAGTCATTGATCATTGTACAATCCAAATAGTAAACAGTCAGATTTGCAATAGTCACTGGTGAATGCTCAAGCTTGAGTGTTTGTGGTGCTCAACATAAGGAGGCTTTCGACAGGTTCCATCTGCTACTGGTGGGAATCATAGCAAAATTATGGAAGCACCTAAGTGAAGGACAGATGTTAGATCCTGTCTCAGGTATGTGATTGTGGTCAGTGGGCACATTTGACATTGACTTTCAAGCTTTCCTGACAGCCTGTAGTTTTTCCAGCAGACTCAAAATCAGAGGCTGGCAGACCCAAAGGGGGCATTTGGGCAACTGCTCATCATGCAGAACCAAATATCGATGACAATTGTCATTTTTCTAAAAAAGAAATAACTAAATTTCCATTAAAAAATTGGCTTCATAGATACTTCACAGCGGTCCATAAGGAATCAAAATTTTAGTAATTTCCAACTTAGGATAAACCTTTTCTGGAGTATATGCCCCCTGAGGCATCCAAGAGTCAAGACCGAAATCACCTCTCTGGAGCAGTCTTCGAAGCCACAAAGCAGCTCTCAGACTCACAAGTCACAACAGTAGCTCAAGCTTGATCCTAATAGCTTATGGTATACCTACTCACTGATTACTGATTCCTGTACTGGTTTTGATGTAGGTACTCTGATTCTATACAAGTCCTGCATAGTGCATAGCGTGGGCTTGCGGTTCCACTTCATTTGTCAGCATCCACTTAATTTGACAAACTTACTTAACCCGTGAAATACAATTAAAAACGTGAAGACTTTATTGCTAAAATAATGTTACTATTCATCTAAGACGATCGAATATATTCTAATAAGTACCATGGACTTATATGTCTGATAGATGAACTGTAACTGCCACACTTATGTTACTTGTTACTTCAGTGGTCTGGGTCACCATATCATATGTATTGCTCAAGAGTCAAGATAACGAACAGGCATTACTCACCTTTTAAATATCAAAACATCAACACACCGTCTGTCACTGACAGAAATCCCGCAATCCCCGCTTCTATTACCGGGGTTACATGAGCGATCCGTTCCAAATACGCACTACGCTAATGCGCATCAGCTCCCCACAAACGTATCTACGGCACCGGTTACATGAGACTAATTCGTTTTATCTACGTCAAACGGATCTTGTTTGGCTCACCCGGGCTGACTCCTCGACGGCCGGTAATTCGCATCACAAACGGAATAGGATTAGCGTACAGTCATGGCGCAGTTGCGGCATTTACCGGGACGACTGAGCTAAATTTTAAATACTTATATCATTTGATAGGCTCAAAACCATTTAAAATTAACATGAAATCAAAAAATGAAAACAAAGTTTTCTTGTTTTAAGTCAGTTGGCACTGATTCGCCATGCAGCGACAGCAGGGTGGTCAGAAAAAATTATCTATCAAAATATTTCATTCATTTTATTTCACATGCAAAGACTAAACCAAAATACCAACATTTTTTTTGCTATTTTCTACGAGGCAGCCAATAAAAAAAATGCTTAGTATTTTGCATTTTGACGCTTCCAGTCAGCAAAAAATAGTTCTTGTGAAATACGGCCCGAATCGTGTGCCTCGGACGTTTCGGTTACATGAGCGATCCGTTCCAAATACGCACTACGCTAATTCGCATCAGCTCCCCAAGAACGCATTCAGTGCACCGACTACATGAGCAAATTCGTATCAGTGACGTCAAACGGATCTAGTTTGGCTCTCGGCCCGATGCGCATTACAAACGGAATAGCATACAAATGTGGCGCACTTCCGTAGCAATAGAGGTGACTAAATTAAAAATTTATTATCTTATGTCTTTTTTGCATTTAATCTGCTCAAAACATTCTCAATTAACTTAACAAAAAAAAGTTGAACAAAAAGTTGTCTTGCTTTGACTCATTGGGCAATTGCCTCTCTTGATTCGTCTGTAGTGCTGTCAGAAAAATGTTTCAACTGAAATTATGTGGATATTTACTATTTGGTTTTCACTATATTTATTGTTGAAAACTTATCAAAATACCGACATATTTTTTAAATATTATTTCAAAAGAAGAAAATGAAAAAAATTACCTATTATTTTGCATTTTAATGTTTCTTTTTGCGAAGAAATAGTTCCTGTAATACGTATCTTGGTCCTATTCGCTACTAAGCCTCTTTCCCAGCGGATTTTGTTCGGACCGCCGATTCGTATTAGCAGGTGGATACATGAGTCGGTAGTACGCTCCTGATTCGCATTAGCGGTGAATCCGATCGTGATACGTATTTGCTTTGCTCATGTAACCGCGGATCGGATCGCCGATTCGTACTAGCAGGTGGCTACATGAGTCGGTAATGCGTTCCTAATTCGAATTAGCGGCTAAATACGTATTTACTGTGCTCATGTAACCCCGATATATAAGCCGCGCACGGGCAACACGTATCTCAACTCACTCAACTCTTTTTTTTTTTTTTTTGCTCGGTCGGCCTAGTGCCATACCCGAGCAGGGGGCATTTACTCCGGCAATTTTCGCCGGGCAGCAAGTCTTACGTTAAACCGGTTTATGTGAACCCGGTAGCAAAAACAACGTGGGATCCTATCTTAATGTGGAATCAAAGCTAAGGGAGGTACTTACGTGTATAGCCAAAGAGCCGAGATGTCTGGAGTCGCAAACACAACAGTGGGAATGACTTTTATTAACAATACATAATAGACATGAACACTTGTGAGCTGGTGTCAGTGTAATGGAGCCGGGAAGCTTTCATCGCACTGACAGAAGGTATAAGACCTTCTAGGCTCCAGCCCCCCGGCGGGGCCTTGTTGAGGGGTGTAATGGTCGGGAGAAAAAGTCCTAAATAATAAAAAAACCCGACGCCTAACGCAAAGGGCAAAAACCTCGCACCTAAGCCAAAACGGCGTCACTCAACTCATTCAACTCGTATGACGAAATCCGACGCATGCGGCAAATCTAACGATGACGACAGCAGCATTTACAAAAAAGCTGAACAGCTTCCCTTTAAGACGGGAAGCTGTGAGACAATCATGGCGTGTTCGAATTAGCTGAATAACCTGCATACGCTGTTTCTATTGGTGAATAATGGAGTTGAGTTATGTAACGGAAGTTGGCACAGATTCAGCACAGGTTCAGCACAGCACAGATTCGGTAGGGGGAAAAAAGGCCCCGGTAGAGGGAAACCTTTATGACCCGTTTTCCCCTAGAAATGACGTCACAAGGAGGTAAAAATGGGTATCAATCGAAAGCTCTCGTTTACCCAGACACAGTCCTGCAGGAAAATTTCACTTTTTCCCCATAGGAAAGTTTGTACGGGAAAATCAAAATTTTGGGTCAATGGGGGGTCCCCCCCGATTTCGTTCAAAATCGGCACACAGGTGCCCCACCACCAGCCGAGAAACTTTCCCCAAAACGGTCCCCGTTGCATTGACGTTTAAGGCCCGTAAAGCCCCCTAGACTCGTAAAATATCCGTAAAATCGCCTTTGTACGGACAAAAAAGTGGTGCTATGGTAAAAATGGGTATCAATCGAAAGCTCTCGTTTACCCAGACACAGTCCTGCAGGAAAATTTCACTTTTTCCCCATAGGAAAGTTTGTACGGGAAAATCAAAATTTTGGGTCAATGGGGGGTCCCCCCGATTTCGTTCAAAATCGGCACACAGGTGCCCCACCACCAGCCGAGAAACTTTCCCCAAAACGGTCCCCGTTGCATTGACGTTTAAGGCCCGTAAAGCCCCCTAGACTCGTAAAATATCCGTAAAATCGCCTTTGTACGGACAAAAAAGTGGTGCTATGGTAAAAATGGGTATCAATCGAAAGCTCTCGTTTACCCAGACACAGTCCTGCAGGAAAATTTCACTTTTTCCCCATAGGAAAGTTTGTACGGGAAAATCAAAATTTTGGGTCAATGGGGGGTCCCCCCGATTTCGTTCAAAATCGGCACACATGTGCCCCACCACCAGCCGAGAAACTTTCCCCAAAACGGTCCCCGTTGCATTGACGTTTAAGGCCCGTAAAGCCCCCTAGACTCGTAAAATATCCGTAAAATCGCCTTTGTACGGACAAAAAAGTGGTGCTATGGTAAAAATGGGTATCAATCGAAAGCTCTCGTTTACCCAGACACAGTCCTGCAGGAAAATTTCACTTTTTCCCCATAGGAAAGTTTGTACGGGAAAATCAAAATTTTAGGTCAATGGGGGGTCCCCCCCGATTTCGTTCAAAATCGGCACACAGGTGCCCCACCACCAGCCGAGAAACTTTCCCCAAAACGGTCCCCGTTGCATTGACGTTTAAGGCCCGTAAAGCCCCCTAGACTCGTAAAATATCCGTAAAATCGCCTTTGTACGGACAAAAAAGTGGTGCTATGGTAAAAATGGGTATCAATCGAAAGCTCTCGTTTACCCAGACACAGTCCTGCAGGAAAATTTCACTTTTTCCCCATAGGAAAGTTTGTACGGGAAAATCAAAATTTTGGGTCAATGGGGGGTCCCCCCCCGATTTCGTTCAAAATCGGCACACAGGTGCCCCACCACCAGCCGAGAAACTTTCCCCAAAACGGTCCCCGTTGCATTGACGTTTAAGGCCCGTAAAGCCCCCTAGACTCGTAAAATATCCGTAAAATCGCCTTTGTACAGACAAAAAAGTGGTGCTATGGTAAAAATGGGTATCAATCGAAAGCTCTCGTTTACCCAGACACAGTCCTGCAGGAAAATTTCACTTTTTCCCCATAGGAAAGTTTGTACGGGAAAATCAAAATTTTGGGTCAATGGGGGGTCCCCCCCCGATTTCGTTCAAAATCGGCACACAGGTGCCCCACCACCAGCCGAGAAACTTTCCCCAAAACGGTCCCCGTTGCATTGACGTTTAAGGCCCGTAAAGCCCCCTAGACTCGTAAAATATCCGTAAAATCGCCTTTGTACGGACAAAAAAGTGGTGCTATGGTAAAAATGGGTATCAATCGAAAGCTCTCGTTTACCCAGACACAGTCCTGCAGGAAAATTTCACTTTTTCCCATAGGAAAGTTTGTACGGGAAAATCAAAATTTTGGGTCAATGGGGGGTCCCCCCCGATTTCGTTCAAAATCGGCACACAGGTGCCCCACCACCAGCCGAGAAACTTTCCCCAAAACGGTCCCCGTTGCATTGACGTTTAAGGCCCGTAAAGCCCCCTAGACTCGTAAAATATCCGTAAAATCGCCTTTGTACGGACAAAAAAGTGGTGCTATGGTAAAAATGGGTATCAATCGAAAGCTCTCGTTTACCCAGACACAGTCCTGCAGGAAAATTTCACTTTTTCCCCATAGGAAAGTTTGTACGGGAAAATCAAAATTTTGGGTCAATGGGGGGTCCCCCCCGATTTCGTTCAAAATCGGCACACAGGTGCCCCACCACCAGCCGAGAAACTTTCCCCAAAACGGTCCCCGTTAAACGAGAGCTTTCGATTGATACCCATTTTTACCATAGCACCACTTTTTTGTCCGTACAAAGGCGATTTTACGGATATTTTACGAGTCTAGGGGGCTTTACGGGCCTTAAACGTCAATGCAACGGGGACCGTTTTGGGGAAAGTTTCTCGGCTGGTGGTGGGGCACCTGTGTGCCGATTTTGAACGAAATCGGGGGGGACCCCCATTGACCCAAAATTTTGATTTTCCCGTACAAACTTTCCTATGGGGAAAAAGTGAAATTTTCCTGCAGGACTGTGTCTGGGTAAACGAGAGCTTTCGATTGAAACCCATTTTTACCATAGCACCACTTTTTTGTCCGTACAAAGGCGATTTTACGGATATTTTACGAGTCTAGGGGGCTTTACGGGCCTTAAACGTCAATGCAACGGGGACCGTTTTGGGGAAAGTTTCTCGGCTGGTGGTGGGGCACCTGTGTGCCGATTTTGAACGAAATCGGGGGGGACCCCCATTGACCCAAAATTTTGATTTTCCCGTACAAACTTTCCTATGGGGAAAAAGTGAAATTTTCCTGCAGGACTGTGTCTGGGTAAACGAGAGCTTTCGATTGATACCCATTTTTACCATAGCACCACTTTTTTGTCCGTACAAAGGCGATTTTACGGATATTTTACGAGTCTAGGGGGCTTTACGGGCCTTAAACGTCAATGCAACGGGGACCGTTTTGGGGAAAGTTTCTCGGCTGGTGGTGGGGCACCTGTGTGCCGATTTTGAACGAAATCGGGGGGGGACCCCCCATTGACCCAAAATTTTGATTTTCCCGTACAAACTTTCCTATGGGGAAAAAGTGAAATTTTCCTGCAGGACTGTGTCTGGGTAAACGAGAGCTTTCGATTGATACCCATTTTTACCATAGCACCACTTTTTTGTCCGTACAAAGGCGATTTTACGGATATTTTACGAGTCTAGGGGGCTTTACGGGCCTTAAACGTCAATGCAACGGGGACCGTTTCGGGGAAAGTTTCTCGGCTGGTGGTGGGGCACCTGTGTGCCGATTTTGAACGAAATCGGGGGGGACCCCCCATTGACCCAAAATTTTGATTTTCCCGTACAAACTTTCCTATGGGGAAAAAGTGAAATTTTCCTGCAGGACTGTGTCTGGGTAAACTTGAGCTTTCGATTGATACCCATTTTTACCATAGCACCACTTTTTTGTCCGTACAAAGGCGATTTTACGGATATTTTACGAGTCTAGGGGGCTTTACGGGCCTTAAACGTCAATGCAACGGGGACCGTTTTGGGGAAAGTTTCTCGGCTGGTGGTGGGGCACCTGTGTGCCGATTTTGAACGAAATCGGGGGGGACCCCCCCATTGACCCAAAATTTTGATTTTCCCGTACAAACTTTCCTATGGGGAAAAAGTGAAATTTTCCTGCAGGACTGTGTCTGGGTAAACGAGAGCTTTCGATTGATACCCATTTTTAACCTCCTTGTGACGTCATTTCTAGGGGAAAACGGGTCATAAAGGTTTCCCTCTACCGGGGCCTTTTTTCCCCCTACCGAATCTGTGCTGTGCTGAATCTGTGCTGAATCTGTGCCAACTTCCGTTACATAGTTGAGTTAGGAGTTTGAGTTTTGAACTAGCGAGTTGCTTGCATTGCATGAGAAAAAGAAAGAGGCGGAGAGAGGACGCGGGTATTTAGCACGGCAAATGCCAAGGTCCTCGTTGATAATGAGGATGTTGAAGTGTTTTAGCAAATAAATGTTAAACTTACAAAGAGATACAATTCTACTGACTTTCAAAAGTTTCAGAAGCAATGGAGAAGCGGGAGAATTGCTGCCCTTAGCTTGAGACTGAGGTGAGACCTATTGCTTTTTATTGAAATTTAACGTTTGCTCGAGCAGTTACCTATTGCAAGGCTTGGAAGAGAACATGTTGAAGGTTTCTGGTTTATGCTCCTGATATGCATACCCATTTTCGGTTGACTTGCTCATTGTATGCTATTTAGGCTGACTCACTCGTATGCTATTTAGGAGAAATCCTTCACTTTCTTTGTCAGAGCAGGTTGAGGTGATGAGAGCAGCAGCAGTGCGAACTCCATGCTGGGAAGAGTGAAGAGGACATCCACCTACATGGACAAGGAATTGTTCCTGCCAATTTACAAAACTCTGACATGCCCTCACAAGGAATATGTCATTCAAGCTTGGACCTTGGTCCCCATTTCTCCAGAAAGATGCTAACAGGCTGGAAAGGATCCAAATGAGAGCAACAAAACTTGTACCTGAACTAGCCAATCTTCCATAAGTACCAAGGTTGTTTATGACCAACTTGACTGACATCACTGGCAGATCAAAGATTCGGGGGAGACATGATAAAGGCTCTTGAGCTTGCCTATGGACATGACAAGATGAATGCTGGAGAAGGGTTTTTGAAATTAGAGACCAGTACAAATGGGGAGAGGGCTTGCAGACATGCACACAGACTGCAAAAGCCAAGACATGTACAGTGCAGACACAATAAAACACCAATTTTGATGTCTCACAACCTGACTTGGGTTCAAGTAGTTTCAGAGGTGTCAACATATACATCAGGAGTTCTCTCCAAGTCATAGAGGTAGCACTTTCCCTTATGACCTTCAATGAACAGCTGTGGGTGCCCGGTGCACCTTCCTCTGGCTAAGGATGATAATTTCTGCTTTGCCACTGACCATCTCCCACAGGTTCTCAAGGCTTTGGAATTTGGATGATTGTTTCTTTAGACAGCAGGTCTCCCAACCTACTCGTTTCCATCCAGGTGACACTTCCCACATACTGGACCCGATCATAGCAAATGGGGATGGAATGGTATGAAACCCCAAACACGAAGTCGGCCTTGGAAAAGCGATCACGTCATTCTGGGGCTCCACCTGCTCTGTTACACTTGTGAACGAGTCCCGCCGGCAGATCATTGAAACTACTTAAAGGGGAACCCACAAAGGCTCATCAGGATGATTCAGGACGCATACTGGGAGTCTGGCAATCTAGGAAAAAACACCAGTTCATCATGGATTTTGTATGCTTAAGTGCACTGGAGTGTTTCCCAAGAAGCAAGAGGAAAAACAGCCATAAAAATATCCACATAAATGGCCAAGCTCTGCAACTAAAGAAGGGAAGGAAAGGCTGTGGGCGATCTACTCCCAGGCTCAAAACATTATCGACTTTACCAGAGATACCCGTTGCAGAAACCGCCTGCGGGCCTTGACTGGGAAATTGAAGAGAGACCTCCAGGAGAACCTTGTCAAGAATGTAAAAACCAATCCCGAGGTCGTCTGGAGATACTCGAATTCAAGGCTGAAGACTAAGGCGGGACTAATCTCATAGATCATAGATGCCTCTAGCTCCGTTGTGTGTGATGATGGTGGTAAGGCGCAACTCCTAAACGCCTTCTTTAGTATGAGGATCTGTCTCACATTCCGGAGCCAACCAGCTAGTTTGCTGGTAAGCAAATCGAAACTGTCTCTATCTCAGCTGAAGCAGCGCGACATAAACCTGACAACCTGAAGACTGACGCTGCCCCTGGCCCAGATGGCCTGCATCCATAACTCTTGCAGCTTGCTTCAGCGGCTGTGGCTGGCCCGCTGTCCTTGTATCGCGAATCCCTGAAGCAAGGTATTCTCCCCTCGATATGGAAATCCGCAACAGTGGTTCCAAACCTTGTTCCAAACCACAAAGAGGGAAGCAAGTACCCCGGGGAACTACCGGCCCATTAGCCTGACGTCCATCCCATGCAAGGTCATGGAATCTCTAGTGCGCGATGAGTTGGTCGAGTTTCTGACATCCACCGGCCAGCTGTGTAGACACCAGCATGGGTTCCGTCCCCGAATGTCCTGCAGTTCCCAACTTCTTGGGGTACTGGAGGACTGGACCAATATGCCTGAACAAGGAGAGTCTGTGACGTGGCATACGTAAAGTTTTGTAAGGCGTTTGACGCGGTACCACACGTCCGACTACTGAAAAAGCTTAGGTGCTTTGGGATCTCAGGCAAACTCCTGAAGTGGATTTAGGCCTTCTTATCTGGACGCACACAAAAAGTAGTCGTGAATGAGAGCCATTCGAAACCAACTGCCGTCAGAGGTGGAGTACCTCAAGGCTCAGTCCTTGGGCCCCTCTTGTTCCTGCTGTTTGTGAACGACATTCCCTCTGTGGTCGACTGCTCAGTAAAGATGTTTGCTGACGATACGAAGCTCTTTCAGACAATACGCAAGACAGTGTCTCCCGCTCAGGAGCCGCTGAGGTTGTGGGGACGGGCTGTCGCAGAGACCACCCCGCCCAACATACCCAACCGGCGAATGATGAGCAGAATTGAAACCCCACGCACTGTGTCGGAGGCTGATGCGGAGGGAGAGTTGGCAGTCTCACCGAATGGAGGTGGCAGATATCACTCTGCCCAACAATCGCCCATGCAGCTGGCGCGAGACCCAACGGCAACGACATCTCTCCGAGGCGACATCGATGCTCTGGTCGCATGGTCCGACCGCTGGCAGCTCCCATTCAACGAGGGGAAATGCAAAATCCCGCATCTGTGACGCAACAATCCTCGGGTCAAATACGACATCCGAAGACAATGTCTGGAGGCGGTTGAAGCTGAGCACAGGCTTGGTGTCTTCGTGGACTCCTCGTTCAAGTTCCGCAAACAGGCTGCCTCTGCTGCGGCGAAGGCTAACCAGATCCTGGGAATCATCAAACGGTCGCTCGAGCTTATCGACAAGTCAACTCTCCCACTGATGTACACAACACTTGTACGCCCACACTTTGGATACGGCAACGTGGCATGGGAACCATTCCATTGCGCCGACCAACTTCTGATCGAACCTGTCCAAAGGAGAGCAACGCGCCTGATAACTTCAATCAGACACCTTCCCTATGAAGAGCGACTACGATTTTTGAAGAACGCCTTCAAATTTAGACTTCACAAGCACTGGGCCTATCTGATGTAGGTATCATATTCCTACTGCAGTGATGTGCAAGGTCATGGAGTCGCTGATAAGGGACCGATTGATGGTATACGTCACCTCGAAAGGACTGTCCCCACTCGTCGCGTCACCAGCATAATTTTCCCCCACACCGATCCTGCACGGCACATCTGCTGGAAGTACTTGCTTACTGGAGCCGAGCGATCGGTGATGGGAGCCCTGAGTGAAGACGTCATATATTTGGACTTTCGAAACGAGCGCCTATTCGCTAAGCTGAGAGCATATGATGTGACTGGACACCTTGAGTGGATCAGGTCATTTTTGTCCAGTCGACAGCAACGAGTCGTCGTAAAAGGCCATCACTCCACCTGGTCTCCTGTCACCTGCGGGGTGCCACAGGGTTCTGTATTAGGGCCCCTTCTGTTCCATGTGTATAACAACGACATCCGCGACGCCGTGAGGTTCTGCGTCGAGATTTTTGCTGACGACACAAAATTGTACCGCTCTATTGATACTGCCGGTGATGCATCTCTGCTCCAGCTTGACATTAATGCTTTCACCACATGGTCCGTGCAGCTTGCGTTCAACCAGAGCAAGCGTGCGTCCTTGAACGTCGGGACCAGAAACTCTGGTCACTTCTACACCATTAATGGTGTCTGCCCCGCCTCCACCTCAGCCGAGAGAGATCTGGGTGTCCTGATCGACCTGGGCTGAACTTCAGGAGGCAGGCTTCCTCATATGTGTCGAAGGCTTAGCGGATTCTTTTTTTTTTCCTGATCCGGTGGTCGTTCTCGAATCTTATCGAAATCACCCTGCCGATTTCATTCAAGTCATTTGCCAGGACTCACCTTCAATACGGCAACCCCATGAAGAGCCCCTTCAATCGTGCAGAGATCAAGCTCGTGGAGCGAGTCCAGCGGCGCTTCTCGTTCAGTGCCCGGCATCAGGAGCAAGCCATATACCGGAGACTGAAGTGCCTGAGCTTCCTTCGCTGCTTCGCCGAAGGCTTCGTGGCGACATGGTCATGATTGAGTTGTACCAGCTGCTGCATAACGAGATCGATATCGACTCGGACAGTTTGCCAAGCATGCGTTCACGAAGTCCAACCACCGTGGCCATCTCTGGAAGCTGTACAGTGTACAAACCGCATGTCAAGTCAAGAGCCAGAAGACAACTCTTCACTGTTCGAGCGATCGACGACTGGAACTCCCACCCGACATCACTTGTCCAGGCCCCATACCTCAACGCCTTCAAATTTAGACTTCACAAGCACTGGGCCTATCTGATGTATCATATTCCTACTCATGATTAGAGGTGACCGCCAGTCACGAGCTTGACGAGAGCGGGACCTACAGGCGAGTTGCCCTTCTAAATTCTCGATATTGTCAGGTAAGGTAAAGGAAAACGGAATTTTGGAGAAATAGGTGAACGTCGCATCTGTCAACGTCTTATAAATAATTGACCAATAGTAGGTGCCGACAACGCGGACCTCTCTGCCGTCTTCCCCTCGGCGAATAACCTTCAGGGCAAGTCTTGTTCCAGCCATCCTGTTTGGTCCGGACGAGGTGACTGAGGTTCTCCCCACTGACCTGCGGGATGAAGTTGTGGTTTCGGTGATATATAATGAGTCGGGCGTCAACCATCTGTTATCCTGGAGTTTTGATACATGATTATCATTGAGGGCGATCGGGCGATATGACATAATGAGCTGTGGGCTGTTGCTGGTCTTCAGAATGGGGGTGTTGGTGGCCCCCTGCCACGCACTGAGGATGATGCCGTGCTCCCAGATTTGGTTGGCCAAACGTAGCAGGGCGATGTTGGCATTGGGACTGAGTGGCCGAAGGTGCTCGATGCACACCTGATCAGTGCCGGCTGCTTTCCTGGGCCCTGTTTCACGGCGGAGCGCTGCAGTGCGCTGCGCGCGTCGGCGCGTTGGGTTTCCATGGCAATATCAACAAACTTCCCTCTGACGCTACGCTATGACGTCATCGCAAAACGCCAGCACCCAAGCGCCAGCACCATCAGCACGCTAGCAGCATTCGCACTCAAACCTCTGTTCTCTCTGTACTTGGTTCTTTAGGACCTGTGTTCCAAACGCGATTCATCATAAGCTAACGGATCGCACGCAACGTCATTCGAGTGACGTCAGGGGTACGCCTCAGCTCCCAGCGCGCTGCAGCGCGCGCAGCGTCGGGCGGTGAAACAGGGCCCTGAGCTTCAGTACCCGAACCTGGGCTTCCATATCTGTCAAGCTGAAGGGGCGCGGACCTCTACTCCAGTGTTGAGACAGGACAGCCGTTTGATCTCATTTCCCCTCTTCATGGCCTGTCTCGCTTCGGGCAATGGACCTGGTTGCTCACTCCAGTGTAGGTCCTTACGAAGGTGTTGGTTTTCGAGCGGTCCACCATGGATAGCTTTCCATCTTTCGCGGTGGAAGCCCTTCACGGGCGGGCTTCTGACACAGCCTCCTCTATCCCCTGCAGCATCTTGCAAACTCGCTGGATGCTTGAGAGGCTGGCTTAGCTCCGTGTAAACGAAGTCTCTGAAGGTCCAGGCACAGGTCGACTTTTGCTGTTACGCCTGAACCTCCCCATTTGTCGCCCGACGACGACGTCGCCACGTTCTCTTGCAGCGGCGGAGAGATCAAGAGATCTCTTGCCTCGCGCCTGGCCGAGATCGTGACCACTACTCGAAGTCGTATGCGCCCAGGGCTTCGGGTCGTCGCCGTTATTGCTCCCTCCGGCCCCCTCAAAGTGGGGACGTAGTCAGTCGACTCGTCGCACCAGCGCCGCGTCGGTGTTCCGATCCTAATACTTCGACATAGGGGAGAGGGATAGCGTCTTCATGCCTTCTAAACTTAGGTCATAACCTTTTCTGATGTGTCATGTTTGCAGGCGAGTGAGCGGCGGCGCTTCGGGACGAGGTGACTATGGCAGGCCTGGGGGAGGCGGTGGACGGCGGCGAGCAGCCGTTCATGGTCTCCTCGTTGCCGCTGGTGTTCTGCGACGGACATCCCGTGGCGCTCGAGAACATGCCGGACGTGAGTTGCGAGTGTGCGTTGTGCTAATGTGAGCATGGACGCAACCCTTTGCGGGAGTTTTGTTAAATAAAGCTAACTATGTTGGTGTTTGCCTTCATTTTTTCGTGATAATCGCCACACTAGTATTTTAACGCACTTTATAGTAACGAAATGATGGTTGATCGGAAATATTGAATTAATAGTTCCGAAGGCGTTAACTTATTTTGATACGAATGAAGCTGGGATCTTTCTCGTTTCGCTCTGCCGTATTCGAGGTTTGCATTTTTCTACAAGCTGTACTGATGACCTGCGCGACTCTACCGTTACGGAATTGCGATCCTGGGGGCCAATGACCACTGTAGTCTGGGCGCCCAAAAACCCAATTCATCATCATCATCATCATCATCATCATCATCATCGGATTGCGATCCCGCGTCATCTAACCCGACCCTCCGCGCTGTCTCCGTGCAGCGGAGCCTGGTAAAGTTTGTGCGCTTCCTGCTGAAGTGCGCGCTGGGCGTGGATGAACACCGGCTGCGCACGGTGCGGCGGCCCTCCTGGTGGCCGCGCACCGTGCCTTACTTCAACCTCAAGGCCAGCAACGAGGTCAATAAGGTATGTGGGGGTCACGGTGGTCGGTTGCACTAGGCTGTGGTGGAGACGTGAGTTCAGGGCGACGTTTCAGTGTGCGCGAGTGAGGCATTGGCATTTGCTGTACTTCATTACGTAACATCTAGGCCCGAGGCGATGCCTTGGCTTATCATGCTTAATGGATACGATTTGGTTTATGGCTTGCGCCATGCGTGTTTGTAATTGTGATAAGAAGTCCTAACTGGTTTGTCGCCCTGACACGTTCAGGGCCACGCGGAGCGGCTGCGCGAGCTGGTACGCTGCTGCTACCGCGGCGCCGACTGCGAGTACCTGATGCGCTTCTGTGCCGACCTCGAGCCGCACTGCGTCAACGGCAGGATGGCCTTCAAGAACAACTTCGACGGTAGCTCGTCTCTGTACGAGCTGGCCACCAACCGGCTGGTGGTCACGTGCCGAAACGAAAACCTTGTGAGTGTGCGAGATACGTCGGGCGAACCCAGCATCATTGGAGATGGGGTTTGGGACAATATGCCGACTCTGGTGTCATTGGCAGTTGGACGTTCTGTCAAATTTGCGTCCTCACCTTCACTTTGGATAGTTAAGTAATAAGTATCGAACAATTTCTTTCAGCATAAGTTTCGATTATTTTTATTGAGAGTTGAGCACTGTCTTTGTCGGTGACACATTGCGCGTCGTCAAACGCATTGTCTGCTTCCAACTTCTTCCCCACTCCTCCCCACTCATTTCACACACCCCGTTCCGCGATGTTCGCTCAGGAGTACGACCGTCCGAAGAGCGGGCCGCTGTCGCCTCGTCGGCACCTGCTGCCGCGCCAGCTGTCGCGCAGCGCCAGTCAGCAGCTGGCCATGGTGCAGCCGCCGCCGGATGACATCTTCCTGTGCGACACGTGCAGCGCAGAGTTCAGCTCGGTGGACGCCGTTCAGGTCAGTGCTGTGGGTATTGTATTGATACAGACAGTGTGGGGATGTGACACCGGCTGGAGGTCGTTGTGGTTGAGGACACCAGCATATTATGAAGTGAGCATGCGCTGCTGTGCTAGCGAATATCATCTGTGAAGCAGCTACCCGGAGAGTGACTGGTGCATGACATCAATTAGTTGATAAGTGTCATCCACCAGGACGTTATCGTTATCGTATCGTTAGTCGGACTATGTCCTTCCCTAGACGAATGTTCATTCTCTGTTTGTCTGAATCCAACCATCTGACGGCCGTTTGTGACTCACGTTTCAGGCCCACGAGCGGCAGTGCGGCGTTCCGGCCGCCGAAGAGGGCCCGCCGTCCGATACGGAGTCGGTCACTTCTGAGCCGGAGGTGCAGTGCGCCAGCCAGAGTCGCTTCCTCAGCTACGTGGGACTGGCGCCCGCCGACGGCTCTGGCAAGGAGGTACGTGCGCAGCCGCGACTTTGGCTCAGTTTGTCGTGGAAGGTTGTCGCTCGTGCTCCCTGGATTGCAGGATGCCCACCTGAGCTTAATTTGATATCTAGCTGAGGCTTTCGCGGTGTATTTTTTAGTTGGTCACAAGCAACGCTTTTATGATTTGGTGTAAGGAGCTTGTCTGAACGTCTACCTCTTCCCCACCCAGCCGTACTCGTCGCCAACCAAGCGGGGCGGCGGCGGCGCCGCTGCGTTGGCCCGGTTACGCCGCGGTCCCAGCCTGTTACTCCGCTATCAGACGATAGACGTCAGCTCCCCACTGGGCCGGAGACTGGGCGCCGGGCAGCCGCCGTCCGACCAGCACCCGCCCGAACATGAAAAGTACTGTGAAGACAGCGAGCGCAAACGGTGAGAGGGCTGTGGAGGTGAACATGATTTTGTGGTTTTGTGGTACTGAAGTTCGTCGTGGGCGGGTGACGCAAAGGGTACAGTTACAGAACATGAATGCCAATGAAACGTGAGCATTTCCTCTCTTCACCGTTCACAGCGTTCACCTCACAGCACCGTTCATAGAACCAGGAGGCTGACACTTTTCGTTGTTATAAATGGAGTTTTCTGTGGGAAGCAGTTACGTTGAATTTTGAAACCGCATGATCCATTGTCGCACCAACCCTGACAGTGCCCGTGTCGTTGCCAGCTTGGCGCGGCAGCCTTCGTTCCCCGTCTCGTGGCGTCCGCCGCGGAAGGGGCGGCACATTGTGTACGGCTGGAGTCACCTCTACTGCTTCACGGCCGCACAGCGCGCCGAAAGGCGACGCACCATCCGCGCCGGTGAGCAGGGGAGCCGCTGCGTCGAAACGGAGGAGAAGGATTTCAGATATGCTCAATGCCCATTGCTCATCATGTGTCACACATTTCCTTGGGTCACTATAAGAGTAGGGTGGTGCAACCTATATGGAGATGGGGTAAGCGACCCAACGTTTCCCTCTTGGCTTTATGTTAGCGTTGCACGTCATATTTATCAGGCTGTGTATTCTGGCAGTCACCACGCCCCTGAACCTGTGGTAACGTCGGTGACTCCTGGTTCTGTCCGCAGGTCTGACGGACCAGGCTCGCCGGCTAGTCCAGACCGTGCTCCCCTGCTCAGTAAGACTCACCCGGCTCACCGCGGAGGAGATCAAGGAGGCGACCCGCCCGAGACCGGCGCCCGTCCAGCCGCTCTGGAGGCCGCCAGCCTCCGTGCGCGGTACACTATGGCGACCTGGCCAGACACTCGTCAGCCCCGACCCGTACCGCGTGGCCGATCGGAGCGGTGCCCGGTACGCCACTTCGGCACTCGCCGCCGCCGCCGCCGCGGCAGCCGCAGCCTCGACATCAGGTGCAGTGGATCCTCGTGCGGTCTCCGGCAGTGCGAGAGCCCTCAGAACCTTTCGGTCGCCTCGCACGGGACTCCCGGCTGGCATGACGCGTCCCAGGACAGCGCGAGCAGAGACCACGCCCTTGTCGCTACCTTCTGGCCTCTCCATCAAGTGTATCACCCCGCAGAACGTGGCGCCCAAGCCCCAGATCAAAGTGGCCACAACACCTTCCACTCGGGGGGCCGTGTGGCGGCCGACTCTGGTAGGTACTGGCGGGAAGGTCATCAAGCCGGCGCTGGTAGGCGCTAGCGTCGTTCTCACGCCGCCATTGGCTCGTGGACGCAGCCAGGTACGGTACCCGACGGTCAGAGGTCGTCCTCAGAGTGGCGGAGTCAAGGCGCTACGGAAGCCCGTGCCAAGCAAGCCGCTCATTGGGAAGGAGCTGAAAGATAAGGAGACTGTCGTGATCGACCTGTGTTCGAGCAGCGACGAGGAAGGCGACCCACCGCCCGCCGCTCCGCCGCCGCTGCCGCCACCACCGCGGATCAAAGTGGAGACCACCGCCTCGCAGGCTGCCACGTCAACCAACGGTTCTAGTTGGCAGTCAAAAAACGCGCATAGCCATTGGTCGCGGAGCTGCGGGGGCTTGGCCAATGGTGTCAGCAGCTTTGCCTCGCTCGACGCTGGACACGATGGCGGTTTGTCGGATGGACGGCTGACTACAGCGGAAGACACCACGGCCGCGCTCTCTTTAACGCTGAGCCCAACTGTGGCCTGGACTTGTGGAGACCAAGACTGTGGAGCTATTGGCGCCAAGCGCTATCAGACAGTGTCAGTCGATGAAGGCGATACCTGCTGTGATGCTGGGTCGGTGCTTCAGTCGTCGCAGATCAGTCCCATGGCGTCAGCGAGAGACCCACGGGAGAAGCTTCCGCTGTCTTCGACCGAAGATCCGCCCGTCTCCTATTCCCGGAGAACCGACGACGTCATGGCGGTTTCCGCCAAAGAGCTTCGAGCAGCATCAGATCATGGCTGTGAGGGAGACGCCTTCAAGGTAGACTTCGATGCGCGCTGGTTCTGGACCTTGGCGAGCCGCGCCGCCTAGCATCGGCAAATGCCAACGCCTCGGGTTTCCCCAAGATCTCATGATGCCGTTGGGCTGGGCGAGACAACCATCAACCACCAAGCCGACGGCTACGAGGCAGCAGCTATCCAATCATCGGGATTATATTGAAAGTGAGCTGGGCGAAAAGAGACAGATCGTGTGAAGCCTTACCCTCTGTGAAAGGAGAGCCTAGCCAAGCTGCGAATGCTGGTGGCACTTCTTGATGGGTTGAGCAAACGAATGCACATTGGATCCCTGATACCGTGTCGCTGTTGGAAAGCGCAATGAGTGATCCCCAGCGCCTAGAGAAGGTGATGCGAGTGTGACCAGCTTGGCGATGTGTCCAGCTTCGGAGACGCTTGGTTGGTTGCAGTGCAAGAGTTTGATTCTGCGCCCCCACTAGCTCTCGTCCATTGTAACTAAGTTGTAGGTCATGTGTAAACTTAGCCCTGCTGAAAGCCTTTTCAAATTTTGTTCTGCGGTTTTTCGCAATCAAAAACACTATTTTTGTCAACTGCGAAGTGTTGGTATGACTGAACGCATACTAGCCCTGGAAAGCAAGCTTGCAGACTGAACGGTGGTGTGTGTCGGATGGCGGCTGGACTGTCACCATGAACATTAAGTGTCTGGTGTCAAGAGCAGACGCTTGTACTGAGCACTGACCCAAGTCACAACGTTCGCTGTCTTCGTGACACAGAATCAGTCGAGGGCCAGCTTGCCTGGCTGCGATTGGTTCCTTTCCTTGAATGGCATTGCAGAAGATCATTATCATAATCACCTTGCGAGTAGCCGGTATTCGCCAAATATGTCGTTCACCTTGAGAGAAGCAGCTGTGTAGCCGTCACCTTTCTTTCAACACACAAGCAACTCTAGGCACTGTTTATTGTTTTCGTTTGACAGAGAAGGATGGGTAGCACTGAGCTGATTACCGTTTTTGTCACTGATGTTTGCTGGTCGCACACCTTGCCTCATTTTCACTATTTATTTTAGTTAGTTCACTAGCAGGAAAGCTTTTCTCGAATAATGTCCTCGGTTTTCGATTGATGTTTTCATGGGATACTGGTACGGCTGTGTTGTGGTTAAACCAAGCTGAAAACACCCCACTCTTACATCTATTTATGTGGTTATCTGTTTCCTCGTTTCAGCCCTGTATATATCGCATGCGTTTGCATACGGATTACGGAGTATCAGTACACTTGCGATCCAGTAAGGTGCTGTCCGGTTATGCTCGGTGCTATGCTGGTCTACAGATCAAGCGGCTATGGGCTTAGTTTGTCACTAGATGTGCCCTTAACCGATGACTTCATTTTGCACAGAAAGACGCCATGCCGTTACTTTGGCTTACAATCCTTTGGTATTGAACTGGGATTTAGCATACTCTTTCATGGCCAGCGTTGCTTTCGTTTCTGAAAGGCCATACACGCAAATTACGTCTCACCAGTGTAAAGTTTTTTTTTTCCATTTCTAACATAGAAATATATTTTACAGACTGAGTTTTTACAGTTCTAACAGCATGGAAGAAATCGTAATTCACTCTACCATGCATGGTGAAATCGTATTTGATCATCCGTTCCGTCACGACAAAATGTGGCATAAAATGATTGATTGGTATGATGATCGGAATAAGCTACACTAGGAGGAGTAAACTAGGACATTTGGCACTTTAGGAACGTTACCAGCGTCTGATAGATTCGTCGGCCATTTTATGACGGATATCCGAAACAGACATTATGCTGCAGCATGTCCAATAGGATAACCAAGAAACCCCAGTGTGTGGATGGTTTGGCTCATCCCGTGTCCGTGTGTAGTTAATTGCTGAGTTTATTTTCGCCCACTTACTACAAGTGTACCTTTCGCCTTGAACCCTCAGTCGCTGAACGCCTGAACGCTGAACGCATTCATTTGGTCTGCTGTCAAGATGGCGGGGCTGTGGTCTGTGCAGTTGGGGCCGAGGCCCGACCGAGTATTGGTCTTTGATTAGTGTCGCTAGATCTGTTCAGGCCAATGAGCTGGTCCGGTGACGTGGTCATTTAATGTACATTGATGTATGATGTCTCGTTCGAAATCGCCAATAAATGTCTGCCCCATATAATTAGGTATTGTTGATAGCCTGTGCTGGTAATATAATTTTATGTCGCCACAGACGCTCTTAAAGAACATGTGTGCATTGTTTCAGGCCAGCTAGAGCACCTGAGCCCGCACAAGATGACCGTCGCCTTATCGCGAAGGAGTCCAGTGAAAGCTCACATCACATCGCAAGAAGATTTAGTGACGACAGCTTCGCATGGCTTCAAAACGTCATATGCTGAATCAGACTGGAACCCCGGAACATCCATCCTCTAGGCTTCTGGAGCCTTTTACATAGGTACCAAGGCCATCTGTAGATAGGCACTGTGGGGACATCGTTTCCTGCAGTTGCCCGTGGGCCGTGAAGGCTGCCAACAGCGAAAGCAGCTGAATGGATGCTTTCTTTCTACTGGATACCGAGGATGTTCCGTACCAATTTATACGGAGGCCACTTTACGAGACAATCTTCTGTTCTGTCTCACCACAGCCAGATGAGACATGAATTATGATTAATGCCTCGAGGCTCAAACTCGCTGTGCATATCTCTCCCTGCTTCGTTACTCTCGGACATTTTCCAGGTTATCGCCAGCTTCCGTTCGAGTACCCAGAACGGCCAAACTTCACAGAATGGCGAGTCTTATAGAGGATCAAGGCAATCGTCGCGGCCTCAGACAACCTCTGCGGTTCCACTGAGCTAAAGAAGGGAGAGCCACAACTTGTTGCCGATCGCGTGGCCACTGGCCAACCATGGCATGCGAACACAAGCAGGAAAAATTCCGCACCAGCGAGAAACGCTTCGGAGTAGTGTTGCTAGCCGGACAGCCAGTTGGCTGGGCCCTGCGGCGTTTCGAGGTCATAAGGCCAAGACGGAGAATGTGGAACACAGAATTTGCGTCGCTCAGATGAAGATTGAAGGAATGAGGAATCAAAGCACAATTTCCAGGGCTGATGCGAAGCCATAACCTAGTGCTGTAAGTCTCGTTTGAAGTGATGGTTGCGGGATCGAATGGCGTCAGATTCCCGCGGAAATACAGACTGGAGGTTCTAGGTTTGAGTCCTGGTTGGTCGAACCGAGAGCAGGCGATATGAATTATGAACTCCAAGTTGACACGCCAAAGACGATGGCCCAGCCAGCAATATAAGTCTGGGCTGTATCTGATTTTGCTCTGGCTAGCCCCGGCATCTTTTAACTCCGGCCGAGGTACGCGCTAGGTCTGGGGCTGTACTGGACGAAGTACGGGCAAGGCCTGGGGCTCTACTGGAGCTGCTACACGATCCCGGAGCTCGCCCGCACCACAGCCGGAGCCCGGACGTAAGCCGTATCAGCCGAGCCGTACCTCAACCGTAAGCCAGAGCAGCAACGAGACAGCCGGACCTAGCCAATAGCCAAAGCACGCCGTGGCAGGCAGCCGGACTTGAGCCGGGCTTGGCGGTCCGAAACCATACCATCTCCGGATCGCGCTACGGCAAAGACTGGCTAGCCGGAAAAGAGCTATATCGACTCAAAATCCTGTTCCAGACGGTATTCCGTCTACACTGGCGCAAATCTGGCATGCCGGAGTTGCCGGGGCAAAAAGGACTTGGGCCAAACCCAGGGTATATAGAACAACGGGTACACCAACGACGCGGAAAGCGCCCATTTTACCTGGATAAGTTACATGGAAGGTAATATATTTTTTGAATATGGAATAAATAGAGTATTCTATTCTGACGCGTAAAGCCAAATTCATAAAGCAGTTATTTTTAAATTACATGAACCAGAAATAACATACTAACCATAGTTTAAAACTTAGCATAAAGTTAGTTGAAAAGCCTATAGTTGATACTAAGATGGAAGGAATCTATGAAAGGCGGAAATGCCGCAGCTGTTTCATTCTTAAAATGTGTTCGCAAGCAGGATTTACGTGATGCTAGCGACATCTATTAATGTAATCGGGGACGCTCATTGGCTGATCGAGTCCGTGAGCAGTATCGCTAACTTACGCTAGTACAGGGTTGAGGCAATGTGCGCATGCGCAGGAACTAGTGCTCTCATGGAGGGGATTTTGGTATGTACCTCGGGCAGCGCCCAATGCTTTTTGGACCTGTTATGGCCTCCGCATCGAAAAACGTTAGCAAGGGGGGCATTCCACGTCAAATCAAACACCGAAATCCGTCATCCCCTTCGATTTGTCTGAAAATTTGTAGGCAGACTGGGCATGGTTCAAAACTGAGTTACGCATAATATTTTCGAAATTTGATAAAGTATCGCTGAGATATAGGTTATCGAATATAGCCAAAAATGCCACACATCAATTTTTAAAATGTCTATAACTCTGGTTCCTTTTCTGGTATCAAAATGATATTAACAGGGTCTTGTAGGCAATTGATAAGGCTTTGATTTTTAATTATAAAACTAAATTGAAGTGACCTTGAAATGCATTTGACCTTGAATTAAAACAGAAAAATTTAAATAGCAAAAAACACGTCACCTTCGATTCGGGTAATTTTTACATATTATGTCCGTCACAATGTTCCTAACCATCTGTGAAAAAATTGGAGTGGGCCATTCATAACTCTCGTGGCAAACGCCGTTTTCATGCTTCAACATCACGCAACCGCGCGTGACCTTGAAAGACAGTCAAGACATGCTTGCTTGTGTACACTTTCTGAAATGAATGATTGTTGATTAGTGATATCCCAAACTCTGCGAGAATGGAAATACATAGTCATCGTAGTCAAGCATTCAAGTTCCATAGTAAAAGTGTCTCAGGCAAACGGTATTTTGCGGTGAATTTTGAGCCGTGTGGAAATGCATCATGAAGCCAAAAATTCAACGAAAACATTATCACGCAACGATATCTTCACGTCATCTTCACTATACGAAAGAATATACATTTTTGAGTATGTATGGGGAATTTCTAGTTTATAATCCAATAATAAATATGGCAGTTAGAGACCTGCTAAGAGTAACATGTCGTCGGCTGAGGCGGGATCGGCCGACGCGGGAAACGCAGCAATCACAATTTTGTGTTTACACGTTCATATTTCAATTGTTTACCAACCGATTTTCAAAATTCTTACACCATAAGATTGCCTGTACATTTCTTAGTCTTCTCACAAAATTTGACGCGAATTGAACGTAATCAGCGGTAAGGAGCGCGATGTAAAGACGGAACCGTTCCGTTCCATCCCGGCACAGTCTACAATTCAGGCGGCGGCTAGCGATCGGCGCCGGCTGCCGAGTCGCCGCGTCGCCGCGGCGACAGGATGTTCACTTTACACCGCTATTACTACACCAGTTGTGAGCCGATTTTCTTCTTGCTTGCACGATGAGATGTGCAATTCAATTTTGGACAGGTAGCTATAATTAATTTCGCATTAATACTATGAGATATTGGCGAAAAACAGGAGGGGTGGGGCGAAATTCACTCTTCCCCCTCCACTGCGCGTGCTAACATACGTTTGCATATGTGCCATTTTCTTCAAAACTTATGAATGGCCCACTCTAATTTTTTCACAGGTTGTTAAGAATATGGTAGGCAATAAAATATATGAAAATTAGCCAAATCGAAGGTGACGTGTTTTTTGCTATTTCAATTTTTGTGCTTAAGAACAGAGTTAAGCAAATTTCAAGGTCATATATTTAAGTAGGTGCAATTCTAAACAAATGCTTAAGAAATTAACTAAACAGTTAGGTTTATTTCATTCAAATCAAACAAGTACAACCAAAGTTATGGTCGTTCAAAAATATAAAGATGCAACATTTTGTAAAAATTCGATGCCCTATATTTAGAAGACCTGTGGTCAGAATGTGCAAAAAAACATCAATGTAATGTTCGGGGCGACACAGGAACTCGCTCACAAATTTATAATGAAATCGCTGATGGTAAGGTGCAAAACAGCCGATTTTTGTTCGATTTGACGTGGAATGATAAAAAGGTTGTAGAGGAAGCTTGAGGCTACCTTTCCCCACAATAATATTGGCACTTTATCTTTCAGCTTACGTGTGGGGCTCGCTTGAAAAAGGTCGATTTAACATGCAAACCCTATGGGGTAGTAGTTTTTGAGCGCCCATTTGGCCTAATGCTACCAACTGTTACTGGCTACCCCTGGCCAAACCAATCTGCTGGCGGCCGGCGGGGCGGGGGAGGGGTCAGACGGATGATGAAAGGCATTTTCTGGTCCCGGAAGTCGCACTCACCGAGTCATGGTAGGGTCAAATTATGACCCGGCTGATGGTAGGGTCAAATTATGACCCGGGAAGGAGGAGGTTTGTTAGCGGTGAGGGGGTAAGTGCTAAATAAACACGCTTTACGAGGTAAAGCGAATAGTGAAATCACGCAAAAAAATGCTGAACCATAGTCCATAAATGAAAAGCGCAGAAGAAATATATATATGACAGGGGTTCTTGTGGTTTGGCCGTTTGGCCAGGGAACACAGTTATCTAGCAGGTGAATATTTCAATGACGTCATATTCTTAATCAATATGACAGCTGCCTTCTTATTGGGCATCCTTGTGCGACCAGCAATCCATTCGTCGCATATTTACGTCTGGACAACGGGTGTGTATCAAATGTACCCAAGTACAGTCGGACCCAGAATCCAACGGGACCCAAGATTCATAAGTACCCAGGTGCCTCAGGCTATACGGAAGTACCATAGCGACGTTGGGTCCCAAGGTCCAAGGTTGCCAGAATATGATTGGCTGAGCAGGCAGACCAATCGAACGAGCTGTTAGAAACTACTGTAGCTCAGTACACTCTCTGACAGTGGGCAAGTGCGGTGAAGAGTTCGCATACCAAAGTGACCCTTCCGGAGGACCGGCGGCCGGCGCCCAGTCAGGTAACAATGGGAAGGGTCGACTCGGAGGGACGGCCCGCCGCGCCGCACGGTGACAGCTGATTCCCGGGACGCTCAAGTGTCGCCTGTCAGACGCGTCGCCTGCCTCCCCCCTCCCGCCCCGCCGAGCCGCACAAAGCAGCCGGACCCTGTCGCGGAACGAACCACCCGACCATGCTGTCATCATCGGCGGCGAACTGAACT